CAGGCAGCTCATAACCACCTGCAACTCCAGCTCTAAGGGATTCTACTACCTATTCTGATCTTCGAGGGCACCCGCACATGACACATAACATTCATAAGACAGATAAATATTAATTCATTATATTTGCAAGTGTGTGTGTGTGTGTGTGTGTGTGTGTGTGTGTGTGTGTGTGTGTGTGTAAGTTTCATGGAGGCCAGAGGTATCAGGTCCCGTGTCACTGGAGTTACTGGTGATTATGTGCTGCTTGACATGGGTGCTGGTAACCAAACTCAGAGAAGCAACCCAAATGTGTTCCCAGGGCATGTTTACACACATGTAGTCCAGAATAAACTACTCTTAATGTGGGAACGGGAGCTGGATTTTCAGCCAGCAGCTCTGTAATTGGGGTTTATTCTAGGAATGTAAGTGGAATGATTTAGTAACAAGATAGATGAGTGGTTAAGAGCTCATACTGTTCTCCTAGAGGACCTGAGTTCAGTTCCCTGCACCCACGTCAGGCAGCTCATAACCATCTACAACTCCAGCTCCAGAGGAGTCTGACTCCTCTGGGCTCTTTGGGTGCCTGGAAGAAGCTCAGTAAAGTGCCTGCCTAGCACGTGTCAAGTCTGATACCCAGCACTGCCAGACCCAAACAAAAGCAAAATAAAGTGAACTGCAATTCATTTTCACATTTGAAAAGCAACATGAAGACCAGCTTGGCATGAACCCTGGTGCACAGTGAATCTGAGCCCATTGCAGGGGCCAGAAAAGGGGAGACAGTCCCAGCAAGGGGAACATGGGGCAAGGAGAGGCTGAGGACGAGGACGAGGAGGCAGCAGGACAGTGAGGGTGTTCAAGACCATGAAGCCCCTCAGTGACAAATTCTCTCTGTCACTGGAAGCGTGAAAACTAACTTCGTCTGAGGGAAAAACAGGGTTTCAAAGTCCGCATGCAGACCATGCACAGGCTGCCCACAGATGCTGCCCATGCAGAGAGCATCAGCCATGCCTCCCATCCTCCAGCACCTTCCCTAGGCTGCTGCACTCCTAGCCTGTAGGGAAGCAGGGCCTCCCTTCCTGTATCATACCAGATGGCCATCCAGCACCTCACTAACTGGCAAACTCTGTAGTCTACAGCTGTAAGGACGTCCTCTGTTCTGTGGGTTGTTGCTATTGCTGTTCCCACCATATTCCGCCACTGCAGAGCGGCAGTGTACTAAAGGAACTGATTAATGGAAACATCTCTCGCGCTTGTCCCTAGTGAACTTCTACGGAACTCTATCCAAGCTACTCTTTCCTTATCGAACAGACAGTAATTTCTCAGCAGTAACACTGCAAAGGTTTGGGGGTGTGCAGAAAAAAGCAAAATAAATGACTGCAGTAGAAAAAGAAGAGGAGGCGCCTCTCCTTGGTAGCTTCCTTTGAGTTCTAGGCCATCTGGGCTAGACTGAAATTCTATCTGAAAAAAAAGGGAAGGGTAGGAGGGCAGATAGTTTATGGATTAAAGTACTTGCCATGCAAGCCTGATGACCTGAGTTCAATCCCTGGAACCCACATAAAAGTTAAAGGAATGAACTGATTGTACAACGTTGTCCTCTGGCCGCCACAGGAGTGGCAGGGCATGCACACGTGATGGATGCCATAGTGTTCATCTGTAATCTCAGCACTTCTATGGAGATGAGGGGCAATAAAAAATAAATAAAAAGCAAGAGACTTTGTCTCTAAAGTGAGGATCAACTTCTGAGGTTGTTCTCTGACCTCAATATACACGTCTTGGCATACATGTACACACACAGAAAAACATTAAAACAAATGAAATAAAAAATGATTTTGTTACAATGTAACTTTATATTACTGATTTTCTTCATGTAAAAGCCCATCAAACTTCTTAAAATAAGACCAGAGGCTGGTGATGAAGCAGAGTGGAACAGTCTTGCATAGCATGCTTGATGTCCTGGATTCCAGCCCCAGCACTAGGGCGGAGAAGGAGCGAAAGGATACTTGTGTGTTGTGTCTAGATGCAGATGAGCCTCCCTCTTAAGCAGCAGCTGGTAAAAGCAAAAACTGGAACTGCAGGGCCATGATTACTGGCCCAAAATTGGAGTGCCAGGCAGAAATACGACATACTGCTTAGAAAGTCTCCAACAGAACCATCTAAAATCCTGTCAGATTACTATGTAGTGGAGAGGCTTTCTGATTAAGAACTATGGCACACTTCTGCCCTCCCTATAAGAAACAATCCTAATGGTCTGTGAATCAGCTGGACAGGACAAAGTTCTCCATGAAAGCTGCTTGCTGTGGCTTGAGCGTGCACGTACACACGCACACATTCACATGCACACACACACATTCACATGCACTTGCCAGTGCTCTTGGAGGCCAGAAGAGGATGTTGGAATCGCCTGGAGCTGGAATTACAGGTGGTTGTGAGTTGCTTGATGTGGGTGCTGGGAACCGAACTTAGGTCCTCTGGAAGAACAGCAAGCACTCTTAATCGCTGAGCCATTACACCAGCCCCAATGGTGACTCTTTTGCCTAAACATTTCTGGTTCTTTTTAATTTCTTTAAAAACACATTTTTTAGATTTATTTATTTAATGTATATGTTTATATGTGCACCATGTGTGTGCCTGGTGCCCTCAGAGGTCAGAAGAGTTTGGATCCCCTGAAACTGGAGTTATAGATGGTGTGACCCGCCATGTAGGTGTTGAGAATTGAACCCAGATCCTCTCAACAAGTGGTCTTAATCACTGAGCTGACTCTCTGGCCCCTTTATTTTTTGAGACAGAGTCATGCTAAGTAGCTCTAGTTGGTCAATCCTCCTGTATGTTTGTGTCACCATGTCTAGGTCAAAGCATTTCTTTCTTTCTATTTTTTTCCCCCCTAAGACAAGGTCTCACTATAAAGCTGTCCTGGAGTTCACTATGTAAACCAGACTGACTTTGAACTCCACAGAGATTCACCACTATGCCCTGCTCAAAACATTTTTTAACTGGGAAACTCAAAGAGACCCCAAAGATTTCAGATATGAGATTATGGACTTATATATGTACTGGGTGAAAATGTACACAAAATATCTGAAAACCAAATAAAACACAAAAGGAGATCAAATACTGTGAACACTGACCTTTAACAACTGGAGCTTCCATCTCGGAAACTGGTTCTGACTTTTCCTCTCCGTTAGATTCATCAACTTCGGCCACTGTGGTCAACTCTGGCTCACTCTTGTAGAGTCTATAGTCTGGACCCTTGAATGGAAGACATGTGATTGCAACAACAGAAAACTACATGGTCACTGTATGCTGTGCACCTCAACTAGGTAGGTGGCTCAGTGCTAGAAGCCTTGCCTAGCATATGTAAGGTCCTGGGCTCAACTGAAAAATAAGTTTGCCTTTAAAGATGGAAATGGAAAGCCCCAACTCTGATATAATACAATACATGTTACATGGCAACTGAGTAGAAAGAATAATTTAAAGGTTTTTTTTTCCCCCTTTCTTAGGAAGATTTTTAATTAGTGAAACTTACTATTTTAAAATTTAGACTATTCCAAAGTCTCTTTTCTTCTGTGTGTAGAGATTGAACCAAGGGCCTTGTGCTCACTCTAAAGATTTATATATGTACATTAGTGTTTTGGCTGCGTGTTTCTGAGTGTACCCCACAGGTGTCCTGGTGTCCACAGATTCCCTGGAACTCTCATTCTAGGTGGGGGTGCACTGCTATGTAGCTACAAAGAACCAAGCGTGGGTCCTCTGGAAGAGCAGCAAGTGCTTGTAACCACTGCACCAACCTTTTTAGCTTCTTTCATGCACTTTATCACTCAGAATCATTCTTTGGAGGTAGGTCTCATGTAGCCTAAATTGGCCTTGACCTCCTGATCCTTTTGACCTCCTAGGCATGTATTCTTATTCTCTCTCTCTCTGAGACTGCACAGCCTAGGCTGGTTTAGAGTCATGATTCTCCTGCATCTGCCTCTCTGAGTGCTGTATGACAGATGGATGTCATCATAACTGGCTCAAAGTCACTCCTTTTTTTTTGTATTTTTTTTGTTTTTTGTTTTTTTTTCTTCAAGACAGGGTTTCTCTGCATAGCAGCTCTGGATATCCTGAAACTTGATTTGAAGACCAGGCTGGCCTGGAACTCACTGAGGTCCTCCTGCCTCTGCCTCCTGAGTGCTGGGATTAAAGGCATGTGCCACCACGCCTGGCTCACAGTTTTATCATGGTCAAACTAAAGTCTAAAAATAATCATACAATCCAATAAATTTTCATCTAGAAGTAAGTCTGAGTAAGTAAGGTTCATCCCAAACTAAATTCCTGTCAGAGAATACTTTGTATTTCTCAAAATTATCTAAGTTTCATTTTTTTTTTGTTTTTCTTTTGGAGACAGGGTCTTGCTTTATTTATAGCTCAGGCTTGCCTTGACCTCACAATCCACCTGCTTAGTTCTAGGTCCCCACTGTCCTTGCTCACGACAGTCTCTTCATCTGCTCACTGAAGCCCTCGTGTTTTCAATCCCAGAGAGCCCTGATCCTTGCCAATACCTACGTCCTTACATGGTTTTCCTAAACTGCCCACCTCCCGCTCATTTTGCTATTTTCTGATCTAAATATTCTGTTTGCCTCTAACACTCTGAAGTGGTGAATTTAAAATATGGCTTGATCAGAATGTGTAAAGTAACCACTTTATGAATGATGAAATATTAAAATTATGAGATTATTAAAAGGTAAAATGATAAAATGTAAATTGGAAAAACAAAGGGTAATAATGTTATATGCAAACAAAAAGGCACTAGCTAAAAAATGGAGTTATAGCAAAAATAAGCTGGAGCATGAAATAAATTAATTCTCAAAAATGAGTGGGTATATAAAATTGTTCTGTGGCTATGGCAGCCACTTACACAGTGAGATCCATTTCTTGGATATCCTTGAACTTGATGAGTCTTCCTCTCTTCAGGCAGATGCACGGGGCCCCTGCTATAACAGAGCAAGGAGCTGCTATCACTGGGCAGAGGGGGGATTATGGGAGGCTGCTCTGTAAAGTCATAAGACCGAGGAAGTGGAGGCCGAGGTGGGACTACTTCCTCTTCCTAAAGATTGTAGAATAGTCACCTTATTTAGATAAGCAGATTGGGTTAAGCATCTCTACACTGTTTTCATTGCTACATTAATTAAAGTTACTGTAACATGATTAAAGGGACACTGCCAAGCCAAAAGTCTCACAGTGAAAAACCACAACAATTTTGAATGATAGTAAATAATGGGGTTTAAGTGCCATATCTGTTTTCTCCTACACTTACAGGGTAGCTTTACCTACCCAGACAGATCACTACGGGAAATTACTGTACTTCATTGTAAAACCAGGAGGAAGGAAAAAAAAAAAGCTGGCTAAAAAAAAATATTATTACATATTTTGATGATTTTGAGAGAAAAAAGAATTTCTTTTTGGCTTTTAAACAAAACTCAAGGCCACAGACATTTTTCAGTTAGGTTGACAGTATCTCTTTGTTGTTATAATTTCTCTATGGCATGCATGACCGAGTCAATTTTATCTAGCAACCATCCTATAAATGTTATCAAATATAAGAAGCCATGATAAATATTCAAATTACTCAGAAAAAGCACAATAATGTTAAAGCTCTAATAGATGAAAAGTAGTCACTAATTTGATTTTTTGCGTTTAAGGAAGAAAAATCATGTTAGAAATTACTAAGGTACCAAATTACTAAGTCAGTAACATTTCAAGATTAAAATGACCTAACTATATTTAAAAGACATTTCTATCTTTCTTTTTCTGTTCCCTGAGATAGAGTCACACTATGTAGCCCAGACTGGCCACAATTTGCCATCCTCCTGCCTCAACCTCCCGAGGACTGGGTTGTGCACCACCACCCCAGGCAGGCTAAAAAATATTTTTTCAGGAATAGAGAAGACTTAACTACTTCGAATTTTACTTGTTAACATTTAAAGTTAGCTCGAAAAACAAACCAAACTTACCTCGCTTTTGTACTTAACTGCTGAGAAAGGCTTTGATCCTGCCAGACCTACTGGGAAGATTGGAAAACGTAACTACTTATACTAAGAACACCTTTCTAAACCCACAGAAAGAGTGACTTTGGTTAGCATACTTTATTTAAAAATTTTAAATTAAATGTATTTATTTTGTGTGCGTGTGTATGCACACATGTGCCAGGGCACACATGTGGAAGGTAGAGGACAACTTTCACAAGTGGGTTCTGTCCTTTCACCTTGTGGGTCTTAGGAATCAAACTCAGGTCTCCAGCCCTGCCAGCCAGTGTCCTTACCTACTGAACCATCTCACCAGCCTGGTTTCATTGATGTGACAAGAAGTCGTCACATTATTGTCCCCACCCCTCTACTGTGCTTCTAGGAGTTTGCTATGAAGCTTAAGCTCACTTGCCACTCATTTAGGCTGGCCTCAAACTCAAGGCCACACCCTGGCCTCAGCCTCCCTAGTGTCAGCATTACAAGTGTTAGCCTTCTTTTCTTGGTTTTTCCACACAGGGTTTCTCTGTGTAGCCCTGGCTGTCCTGAAACTCTCTCTGTAGACCAGGCTGGCCTCAAACTCACAGTCTGCCTCCTGAGTGTTGGGATGAAAGGCATGTACTGCCCACATCTGCTCTAAATATTAAGTTTAAGAATTGGCCGGGCGGTGGTGGCGCATGCCTTTAATCCCAGCACTTGGGAGGCAGAGCCAGGCGGATCTCTGTGAGTTCGAGGCCAGCCTGGTCTACCAAGTGAGTTCCAGGAAAGGCGCAAAGCTACACAGAGAAACCCTGTCTCGAAAAACAAAAAAAAAAAAAAAAAGAATTGGTATGTGGGCCGGGCAGTGGTGGCGCACGCACGCCTTTAGTCCCAGCACTGGGGAGGCAGAGGCAGGCAGATCTCTGTGAGTTAAGAGGCCAGCCTGGGCTACAGAGTGAGTTCCAGGGAAGGCGCAAAGATACACAGAGAAACCTTGTCTCGAAAAACAAACAAACAAAAAAAGAATTGGTATTGGAGCTGGAGAGATGGCTCACTGGTTTTAAGAACACTGGCTGGATTCCCAGCACTCTTCTGGTGGCTAAAAAACTTTAGTTCCAGGGGATCTGGTGCCCTCTTCCAGTCTCCAGGGACACAAGTCACCAGACAAACATGGAGGCAAAACACCCATACACATAAAATAAATTAAAAAAAAAAATCTTAAAAATAGAAAAAGAAAAGATCTGTGAAAATAGGTTTCCTCAGCCGGGCGGTGGTAGCGCACGCCTTTAATCCCAGCACTTGGGAGGCTGAGCCAGGCGGATCTCTGTGAGTTCGAAGCCAGCCTGGTCTACAGAGCGAGATTCAAGACAGGCATCAAAACTACACAGAGAAATCCTGTCTCAGGAAAAAAAAAAAAAAAAAAAAAAGATTTCCTCAAGCATTATTGGTATAAACAGTTCTCTTTGATGAGAGCAATCTGGCCATACCCTTTAGAATGGAGTACGTACTAACTTTTCACACTGTGGAAACTAGGGGTACTGGCAAGTATTTTCTGTTATATGCTAATGATGTCTGTTACAGAAGAACTTACAGTTAGTACCAAAATGGCACTCCAGAAACTTCACATGCTCACCAAATGGGAAAGGATAAAGCATGGTTAATCCATACAATGTCACAGGCAACTATTATTACATTCAGGAGGGGAAAGCCAACAAGATCAGTCAGCACCCTAACAGCAGCAGGAACTGGAACCACTGGTTAACAACAAGAACAGACAGGAAGGTGGTGTTCACAGTCATGAGGGGAGCAGGGGTGGTATGGTCAAGACAAACTGTGTACATGTCCGAAACTTTCAAAGAATAAATAAAAGATATTATTAAAAAGGGAAAACAAAAGGAAAAAGAGGTGTAAGATCCCCTTTTCTCCACAGAGAAGAGTCAGAAGTAAGACGTCAATAAAGCTAAAGTGCTGTCAGTCATCACAGACACAGAAGAAGGGGTTCTGTGGCCGGGCTTCTACTTTATTAATTTATGTACCCACTCAATGGCAGAGTGACTGTTTCCCGATGGAAAACTCCATTAAAACAACAGACTTAATTATGTCTTTCCAGCAAAGCCGACCTACCTGTTTCTGAGAAACCTCTTTGCTGTTTGTGTTTGCTCAACCCCTCCATGACATCTTGAATTCTCCAAAGTTCTTTCTGAATCTGTGCCCGCTGAATTCCTGCCGATTCACTCTATCAGTAAAGAGGGACAGGTCACTGTGGTGCTTGAGTGGAAATGCCTTCCAGGGACTCATGCATTTGAACACTCAGTTTCAGTTGGTGGGGCCTTGCTGGAAGAAGCACCCACTGGGTGGGAGCTTTGGGATTTTCCAGCTGGGCCCTTCCAGGTCTCACGCTCTCTCCTTCGAGACTGCAGGCCGGCTATGATGGGCTCTATCCCTCTGGAACTGCGAGCCAAAGTACAGACCCCTTCTCCCTTAAGTTGCTTTTTGTTGAGGTTTTCTATCATAGCAACAGGAAAATAACTAATTCAACAATACGTTAGGGGGAAAAAGTCAGAGTTTTGTCTCACTAATTATATAACGAAAAGAGAGCCACAGAGGATTAAGTCCTGGGATATTTAGGATAACACACACGAGCCCACGAAGTTGTAATGATAAAAAGGTAAGGCACAAAGAGAAACACACAATTTCTCTGACATAAGTGTGCTACTGTGCATGTCTGCAGTGCGCTTTGTTGTTATTTGTGATCCCAGAAAGGCACATTCTTAGAAGGGACTATGAATTAAAAATGAAAAGGGAACAAAACTTACCATTCCTAAGTTAAAACAAGACAAAAACAAGTCCCTGAGGAGAGAAAGAAAGCCACAGAAGGTGCTCGCTGGGCCCCCGCACCTCCAGGTCCACTTTCACTGGTTTCCAATACACAGCCCACAGTGCGCTGCAGCTCAGGGGTAGACAGTGTGCTTGACCAGCACGCACAAGCCCTCAGCACCACCCCAGCACCGCATTAGAGGGAGTAACGTTCTGTGACTGTCTGATCAGTCCCTGTGGGTAGTTTGCTGCTGTTGCGGGTGTGGACCCGAGCAGCTCAACGGACAGCAGATCCTAGTCCTTCTCCATGCCCACGATCACCTTCTCCCAAGCTTACTGCATAAGGCTCCATACTACTTGTGGTTTCATGATTCACTGACAGGCACGGGGCATATCCTGAGGATAAGGGCTCCTGCGCTACTCCCTAAACTTGAGAACATAAACACACTTGACTGATAGAAGTAAATAAATGTGTTTGCAATACAAACATTCAACCACAACTACTTTTACTCTGCTCTGGTAATTCACTTTTTCCTTTTAATATTCTGTATCATGCTGTTAGGCTAAAATCATACAGTTTAAGACTTTGTTACAACTATATGACCCTGCAGAGAAATAATATTTTTCATGGAGCTGGAACGATGGCTTAGCACTTAAGTACTTGCTGCTCTTCCAGAGAACCCACAATGAATAGCCCACAGCCACCTGTAACACTTAGTTCAGGGGATCCAATACCCTCCTCTGGCCTCCCAGGGTGCCCACATATGTGACATATACATTGTCTTAGCTACTGGTCTATTGCTGTGAGTAGACACCATGACCAACCAAACTCTTTTTTTTTTGGGTTTTGTTTTGTTGGACAGGGTTTCTCTGTGTAGTTTTGTGTTGGTCATGGTGCATTTAATGAACAATTCTGTATCAGCTGTTACAGAATGACTTGTGAAGAGTCTAAACCACATTTACAGAAGTGCTGAGAGAGCTGAGGTGAGTGCTGAGAGCACAGTCCTAAGAACTGAGCTGAGTACTGAGAACACAGTGCTAAGGGAGCACAGTGCTGAGGGAACTGTGCTAAGCCCCAAGAAGCACAAGCCCTTCAGGGCTTATCAGGGTTCGGTAAAACGCAAGGGCTTTAAAGAGGAGACGCACTTTGTGGAGAGTAAGAACTTTGTCACTGAAGACAATGTGTGTGAGCAGACCGACCGCCTGTCCTACCTGCACTTCCCCAAGGCGATCAAGCTGCTCCTGCATCTGGTTCCTGGTGACAGTGACATCATATTCTAACTTGTCATATTCTCTCCAGGCTCGTTCCAGCTCCTAAAGTCAAAATATTCATTATTTTAAAGGGGACCCAAGCTTTAATGGTATTGTTAGTATACTTAAAACCTCCCAAGATTTCAGAAAACTGTATGGTTTATTTTGGGCAAAATAAAACTATCTCTTAGCAGTGCTGGAGATGGAAGCCAAGAACATGGTAAGCAAGTGTTTTATTGAGTTACACCTCCAGCACCCAAGCAGAAACAGTTATAACTCACTCTCCTTTATGGTTTTCTCTTTTTTAAGACTCAATTCATTCAGAGAATGCATGTGGTGTTATTTCAGAGTCTGGCTTATTTTATTTAATGTAATGACTTCATCCACTTTCATCTATTTTTCTGCAAATGCCATGATTTAATTTTTCTTTATGGCTGCAAAATATATATGAGACATTTATCGGATTTTGCACATCTAGGCTGGTTCCATTTCTTAGCTCTTGTGGCTGTTGGTAGTAACTCTGAATGAACATGTGGCTCTGTGGTGTGCTGACTTAGTCTTCTGGGTAGATCCCCAGGAGTGGAGTGGTCTAGTTGGAGCATCTGCTAATTCTATTTATTTTTAATTATGTGTGTATATGTGTGGGTAAGTGCATGTGAGTAGATGCCCCTGGATGTCAGAAGAACTCATCAGATCCCCTGGAGCTGCAGTTATAGACAGATGTGATCTGCCCCCTATGGATGCTAGGAATTGAACCTGGAGCTTGAAATAGTGAAGCCTTCTCTTCAACCTGTTTTCAGGAACCTCAAGACTGATAGTCACACAGCAGCGTACATCCTCATCAGTTGTGGATAACGATTCCTCACATCCTCGTCAGCATTTGCTGGCCTTTGTTTTCTTCTATTTGTGGTTGTGAGCCTTGCCTCTAACAGCTCAGCCATCTCTTCAGGCCAGGTTTTCTTTCTTTCTTTTTTTTTTTTTTTCCCCGAGACAGGGTTTCTCTGTGTAGCTTTGGAGCCTGTCCTGGAACTCACTCTGTAGCCCAGGCTGGCCTCGAACTCACAGAGATCCGCCTGGCTCTGCCTCCCGAGTGTTGGGATTAAAGGCGTGCGCCACCACCACTTGGCTCCATGTTTTCTTTAAAACAACTTTTTTATTTATTTACTTTAAGTATACAAGTATTTGCTTGCTTGAAGGTATGTACATGCATTACATGAGTTCCTGGTGCTCAAAGGGTGAGAAAGGGCATCAGATCCCTTGGAAGTGGAGTCATGGATGGCTGTGAACCACCACATGGGTGCTGGGAACTAGGAAGAGCAGTAAATGGTCTTAATCACTGAGCCATCTCTCCAACCCCGTCATTTTTTTTTTTTTTTTGGAGACAAGATCTCACTATGTAACCCTGCCTCGACTTGATTGATTTTGTAATGACCCTCCTGTCTCAGCTTCCAGATTGCTGTGGTTAAAAGTATGCGACACCTCTAGGGAATCCAACTCCTTCTTGTTGTCTATTCTGGTACCTACCCACCCACATAAATAAAAATAAATCTTTTTTGTTTTTGTTTTTTGAGACAGGGTTTCTCTGTGTAACAGTAAGGCTGTCCTGGAACTCTGTAGACCAGGCTGGCCTCAAACTCGAAGAGATCCGCCTGCCTCTGCCTCCCAAGTGCTGGGACTGAAGGTGTGCACCACCACCACCTGGCTAATGAAATACTTTTAACATATTTAGGAATTTTTTTCTTATGACCTTGCCTCAAAAATTAAAGGGGGGAAAAAAAAAGAATTTCTATTTGCATACTACGTAAGAAGCAGAAATACTTCTCTCAGTAAATATCTACCTCATAAAGAATAACGACTCTAATTATAGAAAAAGGCTGCCCTTTGTTTTTATGTCCCTAAACACAAGTATACCAACAAGAATTAATATTTCTTTCTTTTTCTTTTTTAGAGGTAAGATCTCACAACACAGCCATAGGCTGGCCTTAAACCTCTAGCAACTCTTCTGCCCTGGACTCCTGAGTGTTAGTCTTACAGGGTGTGACACCATATTTGGCTTAACATTTTAAGATTGTTATTATGGCTGGGCAGTGGTGGTGGTGCACGCCTTTAATCCCAGCACTCAGGAGGCAGAGGCAGGCGGGCTACAGAGTGAGTTCCAGGAAAGGCACAAAGCTACACAGAGAAAGCCTGTCTCAAAAAACCAAAAACAAACCGAAAAAAAAAAAGATTGTTATTATGATAACAGTCTTAGAGACAAATCAACAGAGAAAAGACAAAAACTGTAATTTTGTTGTTGTTGCTTTTTGAGATAGAGTCTCACTATGTGGCTACGGTTGGCCTCAAATTTACAGAGATCTACCTGCCTTTGCCTCCTGTTGTGCTGGGATTAAAGGCCTGTGGCATCACACCTGGTTTAAAGACCTTTTTTTTTTTGAGACAGGGTGTGGCCTCTAGGCCTGGCTCTCTGAGTGCTGGGATCATAGGGCAGGACACCAGGCCGGCTCTACCACTGACCAAATGGCCACGCCTCTATCTCTTTTAGGTTGCACGTGGTGACCCCCGAATTCTCTCCACTGTCAGGCAGCTCTTGGACTTAGTCTCCCAGCACTGTGCCACCAGGTCCTGATCCAGGCAGCTTGGAGGACAGTCAAAGGACTCACAGCAGTGGCTCGGGAGAGCTCTCGACACGTGCTCAGCAGTCCGTTTTGCAGGTCGTCTCTCTGCAGTACCACCGTTTGGATGGCGGCCGGGTTATCTGCATTCATCTCTATTTCCTGGCTGGCTGACAGCAAGGCTTGCTCGAGCGTGTACTGTTGGAATAAAGAGGACTACACTGAATGTTCTGCATCCCTGAGTTCATTCACGTGTCTCTGGCTACCAGTGTCCTCATCATCAGCACAGGCAGCAACATCAACTGTACACAGGAAAGGTAATCGCCCTACTTTCTCTTTGTGCAGCTGCTGCAGCTTCTCCTCCAGAGCACGGACCACTTTATCCTGTTCACACAATCTGCTCAATTTGGCCTAGAAAAGAAGATGTCTGTTGTTAGCAATTGAAAGTCTCTTGTAACAAAGGGAAGGGAGCCATTTAAAACAGTCATGGGATATCAAGTAGAGCTTTGTAAAAATTAATTAATTCTTTTAATTGAAAAACTTTTTTTCATACAATATACTCTGATCACACTTTCCTCCTTTAGGACATTTTTATTTCAATGAGAACCACCAAAAGTAAAATGTGGCATACGCCTTTAATCTCTGGAGGCAGAGGCAGGCAGATCTCTCCAAGTTACAGCTCAGTCAGGTCTACATAGTGAGACCCTGCTTCAAAAAGAGTAAGAACATTCAAATACTCAAATAAACACAAGGAGAGAAACAGTTTCAGTGTGCTATTCAGCTCACATATCTCAAAGCACTCTTAACAATCAGTGGTGGCACATGCCTTTAATCCCAGCACTCGGGAGGCAGAGGCAGGCGGATCTCTGTGAGTTCGATGCCCACCTGGGCTACAGAGTGAGTCCCAGGAAAGGCGCAAAGCTACACAGAGAAACCTTGTCTTGAAAAACAAAAACAAACAAACAAACAAAAAACCAATCATGGATGCCATCTCAGACTACAGGAGCATGCTACAATAACTGACATTTTTCTTTTTCTTTAGGCTCTGGGGATGGAATCCAGAGTCGTAGGAATGCTAAGCATATGCTCTACTGCCAAACTACAGCCCTAGTTCAAACCATTTATTTATTTATTTGAGACAAAGTCTCCTAGTCTAGGCTGGCCTGGAACGTCCTCAAATCCTCCTGCCCCAGCTTTGCTGGGATTGCAGGAATGTATCAATATGATTCCTGGCTTTATCTGTAAAAATTCTTCATAATAGTTGGGCTTAATGGTGCATGTGAGAGGCTGAGGTGGGAGGATCTCTCTGAGTTCAAAGCCAACCTGGTCTACAAAGAGAGTTCTAGGGGCCAGAAATACTTACATCAATATCTACCTCTTCAGGTCTGTATTTGTATAATGTGCCTCTACATTCATCTTGTGACAGCTATAAGAAAAAAAATGCCACAGAGCAACTTTAAAAATCATATTTAAGTAATATAGTCTATAGCAAACAATTTAAATTTCTGTCAAAATGACTGTGTGACAAGCAGGATTTTAATGATTTTTATACTTCTAGAAATTTAATTCAAGCACAAACCGGCACAAAAGTAGAGAAACACTTAGCATAGATACAATATGCAAGATACATTAAGAATGATGCCAACGTAAGCTTGTCAAACAAGAAGCTGGCCAAACAAAATTAATATAGCACCTTCCATTTTCCACTGTAAAGACAAACATTACTTTGATGGAAAACGGACAAACACAACCATAGCAGCTGCACTGAATCGAACGTTTGCATCAGCATGTCCAGGGAAAGCATCTGTCACAGTGCACACACACTCACACAGTGTGTGCACTCAAATCAACACATCTTAGCACAACCGCATTAACAAGACCTAGAACACACCGTATACATATATGCAATATAAACACACATACACAATAGAGACTTATCTGGTTCTTCTGTCTTAAGAACTAAAAGATAATGAGGAAAAGGGCGGGTTTAATTGCAAAGAGGAAATCACTTGAAGGCTCATAAAACTGAAAGCCTATGCTATAAGTTATGAATAAATAAATTTCAAAAGAGGTTTACATTTGTATCTGACAGCATTTGTATGATATTGTAGACAACTATTATTCTTGTAGTGCTGGGAACTGAACTCAGTGCCTCATGCATGATTATCAAGCACTCCACAATGGAGCATATAATACTTCCAGCCTTGTAAGGAATTATTTTTCCCTGCACTGAAAATCTTTTAATGTTCTTCTAATTGTCTTTGTCACATGAATCCTTGTTTCTGACTGTGCTTACCAAGAGTTCCATAGCCATCTCAGTCAGTCATACCCAGAGCACACCACAGCCTCTGCACGCATCATTTCACTGTCTTTTGATTTTATATTGACTGCTAGACAGCAACAAAAACACATTAGGCAAAATTGAGCTGCACCTTATTGTATGTTTACTACATGGCACATTTTCACGCACTGTCAGCTTAGGAGTAATACTCCCCAATATAATCTAGTTTGGGGAGCTATATTTTATATACACATGTATAAATCCATAGGAATGTGTTTGATTATATGTCCCCTCTGTAAAGATATGCTTGACCATTATAGTTTTAAAACAAACAGCAGAGAACGCTAAATGGATCTAGAAATGTGAAGATCAAAAGGTTAAAAATTCAAGCATTCCCAACATACAAATAAATCCTGGAATTACATATTTCATCTTATGACTTTACTTCACATACCTCATGCAAATGAATTGTGACTATTTAAGGTATGCAGAATGACCATTAAACCATGAGGTCTTATAGAAATGAATATTACATGAAAAATGAATCTGATGGCAAAAGAATACTTGTTTACTATTGTAGGTAAAGATCAGCCAATAGCATCCTCACAAATGTTGGGTTATTCTAGACCAAAGCACCTGGGTCCAAGGAAGCGTTGACCCTTTTCCCTGCAAAAGGGACCAAGAGCGCGCTTTCAAATGCTTCTATCCACGATACCAACTGGAAAAGGTCAAAATGAGTTTTTACACTCAAGAACTTGAAGGTGAAAGGCATTAAGATGTTCTGGTACATTTTTGCTTCGTATTTAAAGTTAAACGCAAAGCAGCTTTACTAGACCATGACATGTGAATGCAGTGAGCAGAGTGCTATGTCTAGGTTAAAATTAGGAACTGCATCCTGTGCCCAAGGATCAAGGAAAAGAGAACAGCCGTCTACTAAAAGGAGTTTATGATGATTGTTTAGGACCCTGCTGTTCTGCTTTAACTTAAGAGAGCCATTTAAGACTCATCATTTTCTTATCAGTTGCCACAGTGTCTACTGAATAGTTACAACCTTTTGACAGGGCCTTGTGATGTAGCCCAGGCTGGCCTGGAACTTACACCCATTCTCCCCAGTGCTGAGATTATGGGCATGTGTCAGCTCACCCAGCTGTTCCAGCTTTTGAGTGATGTCTTCATAGTCAGGTGAATACATCATATTCACAGGATACTTATAGTTATCAATGGACATGTTCTTTAAATAAATTACTTTATGTGTATATGTCAAGTATATGCAGGTACCTAAGGAGGCCAGAAGAGGGTGTTGGATTCCTAGGAGTTAGGGTTACATACTGTTGGTTGTAAGTCACTCTACATGAACGCTAGGAACTGAACTTGGGTCCTTTGGAAGAGTCCCAAGTGCTCTTAACCACTGAGCCATCTCTCCAGCACCCCTACTCCTTTTTTTCCAGACAGGGTCTCATGTAGACCAGGATGGACTCAAAAACAAACAAACAAAAACAAAGAAACAAACAAACAAACAAAAAAAAAACCAGCCAAGGATGATTCTGAACTTCTGATCTTCCTGTCTCTACCCAACAAGAGCTGGAACCACAACAGTGTGCTACTAAATAGTAATAGTAATGTACTTTTCTAAATCACAAAAAAACCCCAAATCAAAACCAAACCCCACCCCCCTTTTCTGGTGTGTGTGCGGGAGGGTACACCCCATCACACTGCCATCCAGCTGCCTTTCCTTCAAGAGCTGCAGTCAAGCCTCTCTTGTCAAGTCTTCTTGGTTTCATTTCCTCCTCCTTCTCCTGATAGTTGTGCTGGGGACCGACCCAGAATCTGGCAGCACTGAGCCTTAGTCTTCCAATGTTGCTTTTCTCACTTTCACTACAACTGGCTTACCGCTAACTTACAATAAAATTATGCTAATTAAAACGTAACTTTTAGAGCTGGGCATGGTGAGGCATGTCTTTAATCCCAGCACTCAGGAGGCAGGGGCAGGTGCATCTTTGTTTGAGGCCAGAGTGATCTACATAGTGAGCTGTCAGAGCTACGTGGTGAGACCCTGTGCAAAAAACAAAACAAAACAAAACCCTTTCCCACCAACAAACAAAACTCCAAAATTAAAAAACAAAACAAAAACAAACTACAATAACAACAAAACCAAACAAACAAAAAAATGAAACGAAACTCAACCTTTAAAATCCCGTTCGTGATGTCTCTCTCACATGTACACACAAAAACATTCTAAAAAGAGTTTTCAGTTACATTTTAAAACCATTAAACATTTTTTAAAAGTGATGTGTTTTATGTGTGGATGTACATGTGAGTGTGGGTGCTAGGAAAGGGTGTTCAATCCTCAGAGGTGAGCTCTGGAAACCAAACCCAGGTCCTATTCAAGAGCAGTATGCTCTCTTAACCACTGAGACATCTCTCCAGCCCTGATTTTGGCTTTCTCTCTTCTTTTTTTTTTGGGGGGGTGACAATCTTACTTTGTACCACAAACTGGCCTTGAACTCAGACCAATCCTTCTGCCTTACCCACCCAAGTGCCTGGGATTATATATGTGAAACATCATGCCTGGCTTTGGAAATACTTTTAGTTTGACAATATACTATATCCAATGACCTAAAAAGTAGTCAGCTAGGGATATAAGCTGGCAGAGCTCTTACCTAGCATTCATGAAACCCTCAGTTCAATCCCCAGAACCAAACAAAACTGGGCAGTTATATATGCCTGTGCTCCCAGCATGGGAGGGTAGAGGCAGGAGGATCACAAGTTCAGTGTCATCTTTATCGAGTTCCTAGGCAGCCTGGTGTAAATGAGACACTATTTAAAAACAAAAACAGTATTAACAGCCAGGCATGGTAGCCAAACCTTTCTTTTATCCTAGCATCGAGGAAGCAGAAAGACAGGGATACTTGAATTCAAGGGCAGCCTGGCTACAGAATAAGTTCCAGGCCAGCATGGGCTACATAGCAAGACCCTGTCTCAAAACAAACAAGCAATGAAAAACAAAACAAAACAAAACCAAAACAACCCATAAAACCTCCAACCAAAAACCAACCAACAAGGCCAAGCAAACAATGCTCATAGCACTAGGGCGTTTGCTGGCATGCATCTTCTAGAACTGTTCATCAGATGAGGAACTTCATTAGCCGTCACCATCTTATAAAGCCCACAGTACAAGAAGTGTGACATGCAAAATGACCAACAAATTCAGAAGATTTAAAAAAAAATTTTTTTTTTTCTGAGACAGGGTTTCTCTGTGTAGTTTTGGTGCCTGTCTTAGATCTCACGCTGTAGACCAGGTTGGCCTCGAAGTCACAGAGATCCACCTGGCTCTGCCTCCCAAGTGCTGGGATTAAGGCGTGTACTACCACCGCCCGGCAGATTTTTTAAAAATCTTGATGCAGAAGCTGGAGACCCAGCTCACTATGAGCACTGGCTCCTCTTTCAGAGGACCTGGGTTTGATTATGTCTGTTCCAGGGGATCTGATGCCCTCTTCTGGCCTCCTCAGGCACTAGGCACACATGTGGTACAAGCCAACCACCTCCACACATAAAATAATAAAAATAAAATAAAACAATAACTTGATATTTGTTTGGATTTTTTTTTTTCCTGGAGCTGAGGACCGAACCCAGGCCCTTGCCCTTGCTAGGCAAGCACTCTACCACTGAGCTAAATCCCCAACCCCTAGATCTTTTTCATTTGGTCAATTTGTAGAAAACCCACTGCCTAGGTGGGTTTTCAGGAGGCCACCTAAGGAGAATATGCAAATTAAGGGGGTCCCAGCCAGACTTGGTGGCCCATGAAGACAGCATAATCCCAGCACTTAGGAGGAAGCAGGACCTGATCCCAAAACAAAGCTACAGAGGTGGTGAGATGGCTCAGTGGGTAGAGCACTTGCTTCTGTGCCTGCAGAACTGAGCTGGATCCTGGAGATGATGGGGTGCAGTGGGAGGCGAGAATCAATTCTAACAGTCCTCTGACTTTCACACATGCGCCGTGGAGGGTTATACACATGTGTACACATACATTAAATGCTAAGATGTCACTTCCAATTTCTTAAAGTAAAGCTGCTTAACTTTAAATATTTAGTATTTGGTTATCTCTTGTAAATTAACGATGTTTTCAGTCATTAAGCATACTTTATAAACATTTTGAAAACTGGGCCCAGAGTAGGCTTCATCTCTTAGCGTCATGTAGTTCTGCTACCTGACCACAGCCACACTTCAAAGACAGAGGCACCTGGGCCTTTCCAACCAGGGCAAGCTCACACGTTTCCTTTTATCAGGTGCTTCTCACATTTGAATTAGGATCTATATTCATTTTTCATGTGAGATAATTCTTTCCTCTTCATTACAATTTAAAAATATTCCAAAAGGCCATTGTCCAGAGAACTGGAGGGTGCTGAAGTGGAAGAAGCTGATGCTGTTGAACACAGAGCCAGGAACATTTAGACCATGGATAAATAATAACTGGAAGCAATGGACAGAAACATGTGACTTCATTTGCAGATCTGCAGGTTACCAAGGTTCCTAAGTCAAAGCCTACCTATTCCCTGACACATTGTGAATGTGTGAGAAAGGAATAAGATGGGGAACACCCTGACGGATGCAGGAACGGGAATACAGGAGAACCAACAGCCCCACTATGTTACAACTGTGGGCTAGGCTCCGCTCCATCAATATAGAAACTAGATAATCACCTCCCACATAAAGAGAAGGTACTAAGGCTGTAGTAGGAGAGGTTTGGAGGACTGTGCTTAAAAGGAAACAGTTTTACAAATCTTTCTCCCTGAAATCCATTTGTAATGCCTTCAGAGTTAATGTACAGAAACCTAGTAACCCTTGCTAAGTGTACTGCAGACCTCCAAGTATCTATCAACCACATGATGTAAACAAAAGCTTTAGGAAGATGACACACTTAATATTCAACGGCAAGTGTTTAGCAAAGCCATGCTAAGGGTACCACAGCATCTTGGGGAGCATGGATGAAGCGTGGTTTCCCAAACAAACAGAAACAAAAGGTAAAAACACTGATGTTATGAGGGAGTCTGAGGATAGACAAGGCTGTCACTGAGGGGTTTTGCAGATGACAATGCGGTATCATTCACTGTCCAAGACCTTACTTGTTGGTACAGTTGCGGTCTTAGCGCCGAGTTCTCAATCATTGTGTGAACCATGGTGATAATAGGTTCATTTTCTTTCATCTATTTCAAATCAGGAGGAGCATACAGCAAACATCAGTTTACAGCACAGGTAGATTTGAAAGACGACACTGTAAATATATCCTCTACTTTAGTATCTTCCTAACAGTGCAGTTAGTTGCTTACATTTCACCCCATGGTTGCACAGACTTAATGCATACCAACAATTTCAAGCAAGCACCTAAAGCTATAAAACACACCAAAGGTTATAAAATCAACCTTACTGACTGCTACAGTGCTACAATCAGATTTGACTTTAATCAATACAGCCAATTAATAGCTACTTTTACATATGTGAGATGATAAAGCATTAAATATAAAAAGACAATTTAAATTTTCTAGAGGGGGCAATCTGTGAATTTAGGAGAAAAATGATATTGTTTCATTTTATTTAGTAATAAAACTGAAACAAAATGCAGTTCTTTATAAGGCTAGTCAGAAAAAAAAACAGTTCTCTAAGGATATTAAAATTTTATAATACCCAATATTTTTATCACTTAGATAACATATTTTATTAAAATTAGTCTTGACAGGCATTTTTATAGACTCTTGGATTTTCTCAGTATAATGGTATATGTGGAATTATTCAAGGACCTTTAAAATAAAACTTATTCAGCAAGGACTCAGTAAATCTCCTTTGCTCCTGTCATGGCAGGATGAAAGTGTGACTCACATTTCCAGCTATATTCTACTTCATTACGGTTTCTAGAAAAGTACAGTTTCCTGCACCAGGCTTTGTAGTTGGCTAGAGCATTCAAAAGACAAGCATTCTGATATGGAGAGGTAATGGCGAACAAAATTTTCAGCATTTCTAAGCAGACAGGTCTGGTGTTTACCACTGCAGTTAATTTAAGTGATTTTCCCAGGGTTTAAGGAGTGTGCTGTCCACAGCATTTGCAAAGCACATGACTATCCTGTAATAGAGGTCATAAATCTCAGAGTGCAGCGCTGCAGCCAGATTCTACTTTCATCAATGTAGTCAATTAATGCCATATATTAGGACAGGTGATAAAAGCATTGTAATGCACAGGATAATCTAAACTTCTGAACCAAAAGCCGATTTAGAGCAGTGGTCCCTCTCCCATATACACTGGAACCAGACACAATTCCCAGGCAACTCTCCTGTGCACCGAGGATCTCCATGCAGAAGGAGTAACCCAGCCGTGGGGCGGTTTGCTCTAAAAGCCCTTGGACAGGACAACTCACATGCTCCCTGGGGTCCTGTTTACTCTTTGCTTTTAGTGGTTTTGCCAGACATGAAAGCTATGGACGAGAAGTTCACTTCTGGAAATGCTGGGCCTGTGCTGGAGAACTAACCGAGAACATTTTAAAAAATTAATTTTATGTGTATGGGTATATTGCCTGCATGTATGTCTGTGCAGCATGTGCATGCAGAATCCAGAAGGCATCAGATACCCTGGAACTAGAGTTATAGACAGTTATGAGCTGCCATGTTGGGTGCTGGGAATCGAACAGGGGTTCTCTGGAAGAGCAACCAGTGTTCTTAACCACTGAGTCATCTCTCCAGCCCGGACCTCTCCACATCTTACCAGTCTATCTTTGTTTTAATGTGGGAACCCACCCAGTGCTCATGTATGCAAACATAGCTTCAGGGTGGTGTCAGCCAATCTCAGCCCCAGAGCACTGGAGGATGGGGCCAATCTCCCGTCTGGTTCACCTGGGTAATTCCCCAGTTTCTGTCATTTGTCAAAGTTTAATGTGATGAGGCCCAGGGTACCTCTGGCTGTCCTTCCCCCTTCACTCTTTGTTCTCACCTTGGTATCACTTCCTGTTGTGGGATAGTCTTTATGTACACAGTAAAGATGTGTCTCTGCCTAAGGCGTCTCCTGATTGATTTAATACAGAGCTGAATGGCCAATAGCTATGCAGGGAGGGAGAAATAGGTGGGACTTCCGGGGAGAGAAAGGAACTCTGGGAAGAAGAGAGGTGGGGAAGACACCAGCCACGGAGCAAGTCAGATGTACAGAATGAAGGAGAGGAAAAAGCCACACTGCAGATTGTACATTAATAGAAACAGGTTAATTTAAGTTATAAGAGCTGGTTGGGAACAAGCCTAAGCTAAAGGCTGAGCTTTCATAATTAATAATAAGTCTGCGTATCGTTATTTGGGGGTTGGTGGTCCAAGAAAGTCCAACAAGAAAGGCTCACTACAATTTTCCAAAGTAAACTTCTTGCAAACAGGAAGGAAGTTCACACTATAAACTCCACTTTCTGACAGAAACATGAAAGAACCCAGTGACAAACAGAAAACTGAGATGAACTCAGTTGAGAGAAGGTGAGGAAAAGAAGGAGCTTTAGTGGTTAAGGTTAAGACAGGTGAAATAGTTATCACCAAGGATCAGATCCACAGCAATAACTAACTATACTCAGATAGGCACTGGATAGGTCAAGTTAAGAGATCAGAAAGTCCACACTCGGGATTCTAACCCACCCAAGGTCTGGTTAGTTTTCTTTTCTTTCTTTCTTTCTGCCCCCCACCCCCACCCCTCCCAGGAGCTGAGGACCAAACCCAGGGCTTTGTGCTTGCTAGGCAAGCGCCTTACCACTGAGCTAAATCCCAACCCCTAGTTTTCTTACAATTCTGCCATCATGGTGTCCTATTCTATTCAAGGGCTTTCTGGACTTCTCCTTCCAGGCTCAAGTATCCTGGAGATGGGGAGGGGAGAAGGGAGTGGAGGGAGAGAGAGGTGGTGAAAGGAGGGGGGAGAGAGGGACTGAAAAAGAGAGAGGGAGGAGGAGATAGAACGCCCCTGTCCCACCCGCACCCCCCCAAAAAAAAAACAACAACAACAACAGAGTAGGGAGGTGGAGGTAGGAGGTTCAAAGTCAGCTTGGTTATATGAGACCATGTCTCAACCACAAAGGAAGAAAAAGGAAAAAGAAGAAAGAGTTGGAGAAGAAAACTCAAGAGTAGGCATGACGGGATGGCGAGACAGATATCTCAGCAAGTTCAAGTCAGGATCTCCAGGACCCACGTGGAGAAAGGGGAGAACCGACTGATCCCCACGTACTGTTCCTCTCTGGTGCACGCACAGTACATTAATAAATTTTTTAACAAAGGAGCCAAGATTGATACAAGATTACTCTTGGGGTCTGGAGAGATGGCTCAGAGGTTAAGAGCAGTAACTGCTCTTCCAGAGGACCTGGGTTTGGTTCCCAGCATCCACATGGTGGCTCACAACCATCTATATAACTCCAGGTCCAGGGGATCTGATGACCTCTTCTGACCTCCTTGGGCACCAGACACAAATGTGGTGCACCTATCTACATGCAAGTGAAATGACACATAAAGTAAAAATCTAAAAGAAAATTTAGAAAGAAGCAGTATTAAAAGTGACTTTCCCACTTGGGAGGCAGAGCCAGGCGGATCTCTGTGAGTTCGAGGCCAGCCTGGGCTACCAAGTGAGTTCCAGGAAAGGCGCAAAGCTACACAGAGAAACCCTGTCTCGAAAAACCAAAAACCAAACCAAAACAACAACAAAAAAACAAACAACAAACAAACAAACCCCCAAAAAACCAAAAAAAAAAAAAAAGTGACTTTCCTCCTCCTAAGTATTTAAGTACCCCTTTAGAAAATGTACTGTAAAAGGTGGTAGGCTTTAGTTCCTGACTTCAGCCCCTGGGGCCTGGCACTCTCCTGAGCTGCTTCCTGTCTTCTCCAAATCACTATTCCCAGCATGCTATTTTCTGTTGTTATTGCCTACCTAAGTCGGCAGGAAGATTTCAGGGAAAGAAGAGAACCATCTAAATCCCCTGTCTTCACTGCTCTTACTAACAGGGAAGTTAGAATGGACACGGGGGCGGGGGTGGGTGGGGAGTGTTTGGAAAACCAAATGAGATGCTCACTGAATGGGGCAGCACTGACTGGACTCAATGGGTTCTGCAGAGGAGGACATGGAACTGGGAGGGAGATGTGTCATGGGGAGCCTGGGGGAGTGGATATGATTGAAACACAACACACATGTACAGAATTCTCAAGGAGTAGATAAAAGTATCATTAAAAACACAGACCTCAAGTAGTTTACTAGCTCTTCAAACAATGAGATAGTGTGTTTCAGAATAAAGCAGAAAGCAGTGGAAAAGCCTACCACAGAATTGTACAGCTATTGGTCTTTATGTTTTGATTTTGTGAGACAGGGTCTAAGTCTGTAGTCCAGCAGGCCTACAACTCATTCTATGTATCTCCCAGCAATCCTGGCCCTTCAGCCCCTGAGCCCTGGGACTAAAGGTATGTACCACCATACCCAGCTCTGCTGTGACCTTTAGACCATCTCAGTCACCACTGTCTTGAGAGGTGGTGAGGAAAGTCCTGCTCTATGCTCAAGCTCTTCAGTCCTGCTTTCTGACAGGTGGTCAGTCCCTGCTTCATTTATAGGAGGCTGCCAGCGGCAAAAGACAGGCATTCACCTCTGAAATAGCTCAGAGGATATCTTTCGGCTCTACTTTTTCCAAATAACGTTAGAAATGAATGGAATTTAAATGAACTCAAGCTTTCCTTAGGGTGGCTTGGTACCTATAGAAGGCTGGAGGAAGGCTGCATTGATTGCTTCTACCTAATGCAAGTGGCAGACAGCAGGAGCTGAGAGGAGTCAGCCAGAACCTGTTCCTCTGAGGTGTGTGCTGTACAATTTGCCCGGGGCCTCTTCTCTGATCTGCTGTCTAATTTGTGGTTCTATAAAACTGATGAGTCAATCTATAAATCCCGGACACCCAAAAATGCCTGCAAAAACAACAGAGTCGGTCAGCTCAAACACGTTACTGCAGGAACAAGACAGACAGTGAGAAAGTTTGAGCTGAATGAAAACTCCAGTCAAAAAAATTAGAATCATTTTACATATATATAGCTATAGTTAGATACAATGCATAACACAGTTCAAAAACTGTCATTTCAGTGCATTGCTAGAAACAATTTTTAATGTATTTAAGGAGAGATTATCTTTAGGTAACCTTTTGTGAGTGTGTATGTGTCTAAGCTAGGGGTCAACCTGGTTGTTTCTCAGGAGCATCCATCTTGTTTTTTTTTTTTTTCCTCCCTTTTTTGAGACCCTCCTGGGACCTGAGGCTTGCTGGTTTGGCTATGATGGCTGGCCAGACTGTTCCAGGGATCACCTGTCTCTACCACAAAAGTGATTGGGACTACAAGTGTGTCCCACTATTCGGGGCTCTGGGGGTGGACGACAAGCACTTTACCCCCAAGGTAACCTGAAGATCATATGCATTTAGATATAGATGAGTTTCTGTTCATGAAAGTTTTACATTCTAAATGTTATCTATAAATAGTCAAATGTTCACTATCAGAAGTAGTTACATTTAAGTGCAAAGTATGACTCAAAACATCCATTTCTATAATTACTCCTGTTATAAAATTTAAAAATGGAAATAATGTAACTATTTCAGAACTTGAGAAAAAGGCCAATTACTTGACAACTCCGCTGACAGGGACTACAAATCACGAGTATTTCACCATATTTCAACGGTGAACACTAGTATGGCATAACTGCAAGCCCGAGATGGGATCTGCGCCATTCTGGGAAACGGATAAAGGACTGAAAAGCATCTCAGGAACAGTGGTGGGTGCAGCACACTCATCTGTCCGGCCATCCCCAAAGTTCCATCCCTGTAACTGCACCACGTACTTCACTGAGAGGACTAACAACAAATCACAGCAAACCATTAGGCTTATTTTCATATATATATATTTTTACTGGAGCTGAGGATCGAACCCAGGGCTTTGCACCTGCTAGGCAAGCGCTCTACTGCTGAGCTAAATCCCCAACCCTCATTAGGCTTATTTTCAAAGGTTCTCGGTAACCGGATTCATGCTTTACGCTATTTTTTAAAGGCTAATTTTTACAACATCCCACAGGTTTTCAGAATGATTTATGGTTTGTTTGCTTGTTAGTCAGGTTACGATTTTTTGAGACAGGTCAGTCTTGTAGTTTTGATCTTCCTGCCTCTGCCCTGCTGCACCATGGATGTGGGCTACTTTGAAAGGTGCTCTGGTTTACAGTGCAAAGGAACTGTAAAGACAGTTGATTTCCCACAGACCCCAGAAGCTTTCTAGAATGTGCAGTGGGTATCTTCATTATACTGCTGTCAGAGTACATTTCAGTGCCGTGACTGAGTTTCACCAGCCAAGGCTCTGCAGTGGAGATCTGAATTTGGGTAACAAAATGCTGGTTTCTGAAGCATTCCAACAGGTAAAACCATGACAAAAATTAATGGGAAGTATGTAAATTATATACTAAGAAAGTATGCTTTTTTAAAAATTAAAATGACTGAACATGTCTGCAAAGGGTTATGCTGGCATGAAATCTTTTTTTAAAATAAAACTTATAAAGCTGCATTTATCACTTTCTTTCAAAGATGTAAGCATCTGTCTTATAACATTTCCCACAGGAACTTTGATATAACATTCAAATCTACACAGTTTAAGACAAGTCAAAGTAAGGTTTAGCTTGATCTGTATTAAAGAATTCATTCGTTAGCAGAAATTCAGTCTGATAAGATACCAAGGCCCACTAACTAAGCAGACAACAGTGTCTAAGACACTAAAACCCGGGACAACCCTGCTTTACCGATACTTTCCACTTGGTTGGCCTTTTGGAGATAGGGTCTCAGTCTGCAGCCGCCATGCCTGTCACTTCACGTGTGATGATTGCCCTTGGCCACCCACCACTCAAGCAACGGGGAGAACCCCAGGCCACTGTTAAACAGGATCTGCACACTGGGCAAAGACCACAGTGTGGGAGGAGACAGCACTCAGGCAGCTAAAGGCGGCCTCCAGCAGATTCCATGCACCCTGAAGCTGTCCTTAGGGAATCCAGAACACTACTGCTGTCCTCCCCAACTGCCAACAGGACATCCATAGTGTTCATTCCTTCACTGGTTACCCCCAGCTCAGCTACACCTCAGTATGTAAGAACTTTCATGAGCTACAAGGAAACATAGAGGATACAAGCTCTCAAGCTTAGGTGACTCTGTTTATATTATCCTCCATTGACTCTCACAAATGCCTTTTTCTTTCTTTTTTTTTTTTTGGTTTTTCGAGACAGTGTTTCTCTGTGTAGCTTTGGAGCCTGTCCTGGAACTCACTCTGTAGCCCAGGCTGGCCTCAAACTCACAGAGATCCGCCTGCCTCTGCCTCCCGAGTGCTGGGATTAAAGACGTGCGCCGCCACCACCACCCGGCCACAAATGCCTTTTGCCTTTTGGTCAAGGCTCTTTACTGTCACTTGTTGAAGTCATGTTATTAATTAAAGTGATTGAAATACTTAAGCAGCCATTAAAATTATAGTATAATTGGTAAATTTTAATTGGTGTCATAGTAAGAAAATTCTACAAACCCCACCTGATGATCCAAATATATGGTGTTCCTTTGAAGATGATGTGAAAGAATTTCATTCTAGTAGTCATCAACCAAGGAAAGAGGGACAGAGAGCAAATCATCAAAAGGTCAATTGGTAATAAGAAAAACAGTGTAGTATCACAGCACACAACTTTCACAAACATGCTGTCAGTGTACAGATGACATATTCAAGTGTATAAAATTGTAGACACCAAGTTATCACGTAGGAAAACGCTTGCAATGGCTTTAGCAGATAGAAGCTTCACATGCCCATCCTTTTCGCTGCTACAGCCCTCCCTTCTCACATAAACAGAGGCTATTAACCCTTTGAGAGATTTCAGACCAGTCTTCAACTTCCTGATTGTCCTGTACCACATCTGGAGTGCTGGGATCACATGTGTGAGCTGAGAAACAGTATGTGTTCATTTTTCCCCCGTAAGAACAAAAGGCTTATAATGAATTTTCAACTTACTGCTTCATTTGAAAACACAAACTTTCAGTACCTGTTTTATCAGATGTGGAAGTCAAAGTATTTACTGAGCAGCAGCACTATCCCGAGACCCCAGTGCAGCTCCCTCCTTCCTCCTCCCAACCAGCCAAGAGTCAAAGGCCAAGAAGCAACGCATCCTCACTGTATTTTCTCACTACTGTACATGCACGTAAATAAGCTGAATTCTCAAAGGGTCAATAGGAGACTGTAATGTCCCTGCGATGATGGTACAGGCTCATGCTTGACACCAAGGACACAGAATGCACTGATGAGTGATGATGCCAGACACACGTCTCCATAGCTGACCTTTGGGCTGTGGGCCTCAAGTTTGAGCTGCATGAGCTGTGCTAAGGTATGCTCCCGGATACTACTCAGTTCAGCTTGCTGCCGTCTCAGCTTTATGAGCAGCAGCGTAAGCTCCTCTGGCTGAAGGAGTACAATTTAAGAATCCAAACAGTGGAAAACAGATTAATTGTTGTCTTAAGTGACAGATATTAAACCAAGATTTCTTGGCAAGTTTCCTCTTATGGTTGGCATCATAGTGCCTAGGCACTATGATGATAGGTCCTACATAAATGCATAGACATCTAGAGAGACAGAAGGAATAGTGTTACTTTACAGCAAAACAACAGGGTATTTAGGCATTTTCTCAGAACTCACAAGAGTATGTCAATGTCAAGCATAAAATGCACAAACCCACCATAAAGCTTTGCACAGAGAACTGTTAAGTTGCTCATTAAAGATGTCATCAGGATGTTAAAATTACACCTAAGACTCTTCCATCAACAGAGCAATGCTCACCTCTCCAACACCATTTCAAAGAACAAGTAAATAAAAAGAATTACACTTCAGAAATGTAAAACTTGGGTGGGTGTTATTTCCGAATTCTAAGAGTTGGTGTGTGAGGTCAGTCACATTTTGTGATGTCACCAATAGAGCTTCCACAGCATTTTTATGATTAAAATGTCAATTCTCTTTTTTTAGGGGAAAAAATGGGAAACAAATATTGCCATGAGTGTACCCCAGCACCTGTCCCTGCACACACACTCTGCAAACAGGAGACTCTGGTTCCCCAGTGGTTACTATGAATCCTGAGGAGGAAAGCTTCCCACAAACGGGGTGAACCCCTCAGTATCTGCAGAGCAGAGGTGTCTCAGCAGCAGTCGGACAGCTGTTTCTCTGAGCTTGTTTAACACTGTAAGGGTGGGGAAGGGGCTCTTCCCCTAAAGTTCCAGGCAGGGGTGCTGCTGAGCTCATGTTGCTCATGCCCAGCTTTACACCAGCTCTCTTCTGTTCATTTGCTGTTGCGCCCTATTTCTATACCATAAAGCTCTTTTAGAGACCCACGGCATTTTCAGTATTGCCGTCAGACAGGCACGGCGTCACCTTCCCATTGGCTCCTCAGGTGAAGGGGGCACACACAAAGAGAGGACAACGGGCTTTTACACTGAGCAGTCGACAGCGTTCAGTGCATGTGACTTCAAACTACATTACGTGGGGGAAAAAAGCCCAGCTGTTTTTGCTCTGAAGCCAAAAAGGCACCTTGTCACACTACATGACTCTGGGACAGGCTTTATCTCTTGGTCATAATGTCCAGCTCTCAGGTCTTGCCAAGGAGAAGTGGGTCAAGGAAGGGACTGCTATGCTCTCTTCTTTCTTTTTGGAAGAATGGAATATTCTAAACTTCAGGTTGATTTCTGACAGAAAATTAACTAGTTTGTGTATGGACTAAATGATAGCATTTTCAAAGGACAGAAGGTTGTAAGTTAGCTGTATATTCACATTTTGAGGCCAAATAAAGATGTATTATCGGCTGGAAAAAGGTAGGGGTGATGGTACATAAATCTGACCCTGAACATCCACTAGAGGGAGCAAAGTGGAAGAGAAAATACCAGAGAGCTAGCAGTTACTCTGCGACTGCCCCTTCTTCTCTCACATCCACAACCTAGAATTTAATAGTTCTGGGGGGTTTTGAGACAGGGTTTCTCTGTGTAGCCCTGGATGTCCTGGAACTCAGAGATCCACCTGCCTCTGCCTCCTGAGTGCTGGGCTTAAAGGTGTGCTCCACCACCACCAGAACCTAATCCTTGGTTTTTAATAACATACATTCACAATCTTTAGTAAACACACTGCAATCACTTTAAATCCAGCAACTATTTCTTTATATCTAAAGGTGTAAGATGAAGTAAGACATTATAAAAAAAGAGATGAGTTTGTCTTGATGACTGTAGGAAGAGAATTTTAAATAGTAACAAACAATCCTACAGGGATTAAAATCACATCCTCAAGTGAATAGGACTATCTACTGACAACAGAGTCGCCCCAAAGAAAAGCATTCCAGCAATGTTGGTGACCCTTACCCTCAGTACTCCAGAGGCTGGGGCAAGGGATTGTTAGATGAAGACCTTGTCTAAAAACAAAACAGCAAAAACCAAGCCAAAGGAGGGGAAAAGTCACCTACTTTCTTTGATTTGAGGAACTGATATGAAAAATCCTAAATTTAAATAGTAGTAAATATACTTGCTGTGGTTTTTGGTTTGTTTGATTTTTCCCTCCTGTATCCCAGGCTAGTCTCCAACTCCCAATCTTGTCTCAGCCTCTGGAATGCTGGGATTAAAGGCATGAACCATCATGGACAGTTCTGACTATTGTATAGTCTTTCTTTGGGTAAATATATAAATCAATGTATTTTCGGCTCTACAGTAGCTAATTTATATTAAATTTCACAGAAAAGCCAAGTATGGCAGTATGTTCACATAATCCCAACACCAAGGAGGCTGAGCAAGAACAAAGCGTCCCAGGCTGGCTCGCACTCTATCTCAAGACTTGGTCTCAGAATAAAACAAAAGCCACAGGGAAAAGGTTTCAGAAGGTCTGTCATGTGGCCAGACAGATACTCGATAGACTTGTCCTACTGATTATCACTCCGAAGTCTGTGCTGAGTGTGTGGAGGGTGTGGTCCTCAACCTTGCTAATGCTGCGACCCTTTAATACTGTTTTTCATGTTGTGATGACCCCCAACCATGAAATTATTTTTACTGCTCCTTCAATAACTACAATTTCGCTACTGTTTTGAATCATGATGTAAATATCTGATATGCAGGGTACCTAATATGGGACCCCAAAGGGGTCTCAACCCAAGGTTGAGAACCACTGGTGTAGGGTTGGCTGGGTCTTGCATATCTTATGCAATCCAGGTCTTGCATATCTTATGCAATCATTCACCATTGAGCTATTTGGTTTTTAAGAAACAAAATAAAATGAAACAAACAAAAAACAAAAACAAAAACAAAACTATGTAGTCTTGTATGATAGGTAGTCATGGCTGGCCTTAACTCACAGCCATCCTTCTGTGTACTACCATGCCTGGCTTTTATTTTAAAGACAAAGGGGATAATAAATCAAAAACCCAGAGTTAAATAGTAAACTTTAAACTTTCTCCTTTATTTGGGCATTTAGGGAAAGGAAGCCAAAAAGACACTGACATGGCTATCTGAGCCTACATTCTTCTGATGCTGAGTCTTTGTCACAAGAGTAGTGCTGTTTTCTTCTGTAGGCAATGTCTGAAAATTCACACTTAAAAGTCATGGCAGCTTCATGCCTTTCTGGGCAGCAAATAAAGTAGGCATATGATAAGTAAACTTATCACACTCACCGTTCTGCCTTGGAGGCTCTGAGGACTAACAGCCGGTAAAGCTAAGCCAGCTGGCATTGACCTTCTGTCAGGTACATAGGCATGCTAGGAAACAAGGACAAAATATAATTCAGCGGGGAACTTTTTTTTAATGTTATTGATGAATAATCTTAAGTTTATATTATAAAATACCAATTAAAATTGTCATTAGCGTTTATGAAAGACATACCAAAATTCCTTACTTGACTAAATACAGAAGTGAATGAAAAGAGTAATTATATGGAGCCTGACTCAGCAGCACTCAAACTCCTTGTTCTCAGGACTCTCGTGTGCATGCGCGCGCACATGCATGGTTGCTGTTGTTTTTTCTGAGACAGGACCTTGTGTAGCTCAGGCTGGCCTCACACTTGATCTCCTAACCTACTAGTTTCCACTACCCAAGTGCTACCCACAGTGGGCATGAACCACTATGCCTGGGCCTATATATACATGTTTTATATTTATTATTGTTATTGTTATTGTGTATGTGTATGGTGTGTGGTGGTGCATACGTGGAGGTCAGAGGACAACTCTGTGGTACTGGCCCTCTCCTTCTACCGTTACGTTGGTTCTGGAGATTGAACTAAGGTCACTAGGCTTACACAGAAAGCATCTTTACATACTGAACATCTCACTGGCCCTGCTTCATATTCCTGAGAGGAAACTTAGTAACAGGAGTGGCCCAGTTTGACAGCCTTAAAGATCTGACTGTTTGCTGGTTTCTCATACCTGCTTTTATATCACTCTGTTACGACAAGTCTTTTGGTGTTAGTATGTTATCAAATCCACCTGTGGCAGCTGTAGTTGGTGAGTGTAGATACACTTACAGCTCTTATGGCATTTTCGTAAAGCTTACTAGCCAACTGGTGTCTAAATGCGAACCAGTGATCCCGACACATGCGTACACTAATGTCCCTCTTGGCTGTGCGTGATGTGGTAATGAAAGAGTTTATCTGCAAAGAACTGGTTCAGCCCGTTATGCAATGTTCTCCTTGCCGACACGTTTCATTATTAAATACTGTTAGATAGCAATACTGAATTTTAGCATATAAGAGATCTCAATGCCAGACAGCCACTTGGTTAGAAGATGAAGTCAATATTTTTGCCCTAACAAAGAACAGAGTGAGCATGCCTACCAGGGAGAAGGTATGGTTGGCAAGAATATAAAAAGTCAATAAAAATGAGCTACAGTGTCTGGGGTGAGGCTGAGGGGGTGAAGTGCTGGCCGCATGAGCAAGAGCTTCCCCTACCATCCACATCAAAACAACTAGGTGTGCTAGCAGACACCTATGATCTCAGTGCTGGGAGGCAGTGGCTGGCCAGCCAGCTAGCCAATCCAGGTTAGTGAGAGACCCTGTCTCAAAAAATAAAGTGGAGAGTGACAGAGGCAGATGCTCAACATTGAACTCTGGCTTCCACACATGGCTATGCACACCCACACATATACATATTCTTCTCCCAACCCAATGTGAGCTGGGATGTAGTCTGGTGGCAGAACACTTGCTTAGCATGCACAAGGTGGGTTTGATTCTTAGCATGGGGAAAAAAAAATATAATAAGAACAAGGTATGTCCTCAGATGGAGAAGAATGAATAATGTGTCTGTCAAATAAAACAAAACAAATAAACAAACAAAAAACAAAAGCAAAAAACTTTTGCTGTGTGTGGTGTCCTGTGGTGGTTTGAATGAAATGTCCCCATAGTCTCAGGCATTTGAATGCTTGGACCTAGTAAGTGGCCCTGTTTGGGTAGGTTTAGGAGGTCTGGTCTTGCTGGAGGAAGTATGTCCCTGGGGATGGGCTCTGAGGTTTCAAAAGCCATCAGCCATTCCCACTCTGCTTCTTCCCCTGCCTGTAGCTTCCGGTGAGTTCTCTGCTGTTTCTGCTGCCATTTCCCCACTGTGATGGTGATGGACTCTTATTAACTGTAAGTTCGAACCCTTCCTTCAGTAAGTTGCCTTCGTCATCGTGTTTTATCATAGCAATAAAAGAATAGCTAAAATATGGCCCAAACCCATAATCCAAGTTATTAAAAAAGCCGAGGCAGGAGCATCTGGAATCTGAAGCCAGCCTGGGCAACTAGTTCACAGAGATCCTTTCTCAAAATAAAAGCACTAGAGACAAATGTAAACACACGAGAGGCTTGACAACAAATAAAGGAATCACTCTTGTGATCCTGGGGTTAAGAATTAAAGTTTAGGTTCTATACATGGGATTTGGACAGTGTTTTAATTTTAAAGACAAAAACAGCCTTGTTAACTTCCCATTCTCTTTCCTCTAACTAAATTTAAAACAGTGTATTAGAAAGAAAATACAACATCCTTAAGCAATGAGCTAACACAAAATTAGTGTTTTACCTTTGGGTGATGAGCCCGGTGCCTGCGGTCTACCGTGACATCTCCTCTCTGGATGGGCGAGGACACTTCTGACCTGTATGTTCGTTGTGGTGAGAATCCCGGGTAAGCCGCTACGGACCCATGGGAAGGTGACGTGGGGATGGAGTGCATTGTCTGGTCAGAAACCTTAACCATGGCCTTCGGGCTGCTCAGGCAGCTGTGTCGAGGAAGGGTGCTCTGCTTGTGGTAAAACTGACGCTGCTGCCACTCATACAGCTGCCACATGGTGTCGTCCCTCATGGAACGCCGCTTCTCTTCTGTTCCAGGCCCAGACTTCTCATGGCCAGAAGGGGTTACACTGCAGATACTCTCAGGTCTGGTCTTGCTGTTTCTTGGGAGTGTTCGGTAACCTTCAGGGTAGCGGGCCACAATCTGGGCTCGGTGGCTTGGCATATTTCTTGGCAATGTTTGGTAAGAAATTACTCTAAAATTAAAAAGAAGTTGTAAAAATGAAAAAGATGTCGTAAAATAAAGAGAGAGCTGTTTTTGCAATTTTAAGCGACACTGTATTTCTGGCTGCCCTGGCAAGTAAATACGTACCAGACTTTATTGTTTGTTTGTTTTTTGGGAGGACTTTTTTGTTTTTTTTTGTTTTTTTTTACCTGAGCTGAGGACCGAACCCAGGGCCTTGTGCTTGCTAGGCAAGCGCTCTACCACTGAGCTTTGGGAGCAGAGAGCGAGCAAACAGTCGACATGAGCAGAGCGGAGTTCCATTATTTGTGACTCTCCCCTGTGGTGTACCTGGCCCTTTCACCCCACAACTCGACTTCCCTCCCAACTTCTCTGCTAACACAAAAGGCAGAAATTAGGGGGAGGAAAGCTGGAAGCCCCATGGTCATGTATTCAGGAAGTACTGCAGCCAGAGGAAGTGATTCCACCCAAGACTCCATTCTAGCAGTCTACCTCAGGTCGGTTCCAGCTGAGAGACTAACTCTAAAGCAACTTACTCACCACACCTTGCTTCAGAAATTTAAGAAAGCTAAGTAATAAATGTAAGAAACACTACAGAAGCATTAACTGCAACTTAAGTACAGAATGCCAACATGGACGTGTATCTTTAAGAACGACAGGCATTGACGGTTTAAAACACACAAATGGACCTAAGCACCAACAGAACAGATTACAACTCTGGGGACTCCACCGTCAGTGCTCTGAAGCAGTCACTACCATGGGAGCTGCTGTATTTGCTCAGGTGTTATTGACAGCAGTGTTTCCCATCACCTTGGCTACTGGCCGAAGACTTTAAAATGGTCTTCTGCCATCTTTGAAACGTTGGGGGACTCTTAATAGAGACACAAGTTATTAACAAGTAAATTCATTTTTGTCTTATACACTTTCTAGCATCAGGAGACCTGATTTTCAGAAGTACAATTTACTTCAGTGATTTTGTTCCAAAGGAATTCAAATTAAGCAAAGTGTGATTTACTCTGAAGTAAAGGATTAAGAAGAAAGCACTGTGAGTCCATTCAGCAGCAGCTGCCTGTGATCTGCCCTGGGGGACAATGACCAGCTCCGTTACTCACAAAGACACTTTGCAGCTCTGTTCAGAGGCTGTTCGGGGAAGGGGGTGGGTGGGGAGGCGCACAACACAGGGGACGGGGACCTACCATCCGACTAAACATTCAACCTCCCCTGCTTCCTACCAGGGTCTTAGTAATTAAGAAAGTCTTTCATACAGAAAAAAATCAGTTTTTTCATTACGATGTTTCCTTTCACCAGTAAGTTTGCAAGTTGCAAAGGTTTATTTGGGAGGAGGTTTATTTAGGAACATGGGTGATACTTTTCAAAGATTCAAAGTGGCCTTGAGCCATTTGAAAAGACTGTGACAATCCAAGCACTCAGGGAAGCCAAAGAAGAAGAATGCAAAGAAAGCCCCTGTCAGCCCTCAGAGGGGGCCGCACTCAGAAGAAAAGGCTAGAAAACCTTCCCGGGGCCCCGCTAACACTCACTGATACTTCACAGATGAAAACATAAATTCCAGGTACCCGCTATCCTCTCTACACTTTTAACTCAAGGAAGAACTGTCTTATTTGAGGGAAAGATTCTTCTTTGAAGTGAGATTTAAGTTGAGAGGAAGCGACTTGGCAGACTTCCAGTCTAAATTATTTCCTGAATGTGATCTGTAGTGCCTCCAATACTTTCACCCTCAGAACTACTTCCTGTTTTTCTGTCTAATTAAATTTTACTTATGTGTTTTCCTACCGACAATGTATGACTTGATTTGGCCTTGTAATTTCACACAAATAGTTAAATTCTATTTTCTCACCCATGCATTAAGTGAATTGCTCACCTACGACTGTGTCCAATAGGGAAGTGAAAAGTATTATCTCATTGTTTCTTTAATGTGTAACTCCCTGACAACTGGTAAATTTGAACATTCAGTCATGCTCTTCTGAAAAAAGTTGGTAACACTTAGACAGTGTACAGACATACATAAAATGAACATACACTGTGGAAATGCTAAATCAAACTGAGTGTGTGTATTACTGCGGTTAACTTGAAATTCTGACATGTCTTGGAGGGCAGGTGCAGGGTGCAACCTTTAATCTCAGCAATGGCTAGGCAGAAGCAGTGGTATGTATCTGTAAGGTCCTGGCCAGGCCAGCCAGAGGTACACAGTAACAGCAAACAAATCCGAGCCAGTTTTCAAGTACAGAACTCATTGTTACAACTCAATCACTATGTTGTACAGTAGACTCTACAACTCACACGTCTCAAGTATTATTCACTACTCTCTCTTGACTGCTCACAGGGGTGTGTGTGTGTGTGTGTGTGTGTGTGTGTGTGTGTGTGTGTGTGTGTGTGTGTTTGCAGCCTTGGGAGAGCTAACAAGCCCAGTCTACCCAGGCTTTAGAGCCACACTTTTGAAGACAGCTTCTGATAGTGTAGCCCAGCTACTAACTGAGCAGAACTAGAAAGCATTTCCACGCCTCAGAAGTTTCAGCAGTGAACCAAAACATTCAAGTCATGCTTTCTATTTTCTATTACTCAGAAGCTACAGTAACAATTACATTACATAGAGAACTACATGAAAATCAGTATACACTTACAGTATAGACTATATTATCAATATAAAGCATGTAGGTAACATGGAAAATCCACTTAACATACTTTCTCTAAGAACTTCTGTTTTAAGAAAAAAGTTACAGTCAAACAGTGGTGGCACATGCCTTTAATCCCAGCACTCCGGATGCAGAGGCAGGCAGATCTCTGAGTTTGAGGCCAGCCTGGTCTACAGGGTGAGTTTGAGGCCAGTCAAAAAAACCAATAAAGGAAAAGAAAAAAATAACAATGATTTTTATGAACATGAATACAAAATACTTTCAGAAATGTAAAATTTGTTGACTTTTAAGGGTTAGAAATCAAGTCCATGCCTTGTGCATGCCAGGTAAGTGCTCTACCACTGGACTATGTTCGTAGCCCTAAAATTTACTTCAAAGACTTTCCTTGTTTTAGTGTTTTCAGATGGGTCTCACTATGTAGCTCTGGCTGACTTACTTCTGATTACGTATAATCCAGGTTGGCCTTGCACTCAGCCATTTCGGCTTCAGGGTGCTGTGATTACAAGGTACAGCACCACACCTGGCTTAAATTTGGTGTTTTGAGGCCTGGGGAGTCAGCTCAGTGCTTAAGAGCATTGGATGCTCTTGCAGAGGACTGGACTTCAGTTCCTAGCACCTAAATGACCCCTTATAGGGGATCACAGAGATCCTCTTCTGGTCTCTGCAGGCATCAGGCACGTACACAATGTACATACATACATGCAAGCAAAACATTCATACACATAATATATTTTATGTTTGTTGAATGTGGTGGTGTACAACTTTAATTCCAGCACCTGTGAGGCAGAGAAAGATTTGTGTCTACACACCATGTTTCAGGCCTGCCAGCCTGGATTATTAGTGAGACTGTGTCTCCAAAAAAAAAAAAAAAAAAAAAAGCTTTTTTGAAATGTACCTACTTCTCAGCATATATTCCCGATAATCTTTGCAAGCCCTGCCATTTCTTATTTCTTAAATGTTTGTTCTCTTAGGGCCTCTCTCCTTTTATTAAAACTAAGACAGGGTCTTACTATGTAGTTGGCCTTGAACTCTCAGTCTTCAGACTCAGCCACCTGAGTGCTAGGGTTAGAGGCACAGACCACCACCCCTGGCACTTGCCGAGCGCCTGGAACCTCCCTTTTCTCCACTTTCACACCTTTTGCCATGTGAGATACACTGGTGACATCTGAACCATGCTCAAGTTCAGATTGCTCTCTGGAGATGCAGGCTCACAGGCACAGGGCCAGATCTCTCTCCTCTCACTTCACATGTCAACTGTCTCCAAACCACTAGGCTGCAATTGAATGATTACAGGTATTTCTTCCCTTCCCTTTTTTGTTGTGCCGGGAATTGAACCTAAGGCACGTGAGGCACACTGGTCTATAACCTTGGTTTTGTTTTGAAACAAGGTTTCAGCTGTGTAGTTCTGGCTGCCCTTGAACTCCTGATCCCCTGCCTCCATTCCTAAATACTGGGATTGCAGGTGTGTGCTACCACACCTGGGTCCTAGATTTCTTGTCTAAGAAGATCTTTCAGTCTACGAGGTTGTAGAAGCTGCCAAAGGAAGGCAGATTAGGGCTTGAGACAAATACCCACTGGTTCATCACAGTTCAGAATTCTATGAGAGGAGAAACAGGGGTGAAGGTAGAAAGATGGAGCCCCTCTTCACCTCCCTAAAACTTATCTCTCCCCTCAACTTCACCCTGTCCTTTGTCAGAGGCTAGGAAGGATGGGCTCTTCCCCAAAGCAAGGCTATCCATAGAAACATGAGACAGAAAATACATCTGATCACCGTGAGCAAGACACAGTAATGGAAGTGGGAAATCGAAAACATACTTCAAACCAGTACTGTAAATGAAGCCTACCTGCTCCACCACAGCATCAAAGAAACCGGGCTGTCACGATAAGGTACTTACCCTCTGGGCTCTTCTTCAAGACCCCGTCCTTTCTGGATTTTAATCCACTGTTCCAGCTGCTGCATTGAATTCGTTCTCTGAATGACTCGATCAGCCTCTGTGGCCAGGGTCCCTGCATTTGGGTGACTCCCACCCTGGACATCTGCCAAGCTGACATTCACTATTTTGCCATCTGAACTATTCACATTGATGGGTCTGTAGTGCACATTCTGAGGTGGGCAGGCTAGCCCAGTTTCATATTCTGATGGCAGAGAGTTCAACTTTACACTGTTAATTTTTGTTAGAGGTCTCTCTTGGCCATCCTTCTGAAATCCGTATTTTTCAGCTTCTAAGGCCCTTTTTTCCTCCATTTTGCTAATTTCCTTATTTTTCTGATTGTTCTGGACCTCTGGCTTAATGAGGACTCTGTGGTTGGGAATGTTATTGGTTTCTTTAGCTGATGCACCTTCCGTTGCAATCTTGTCCACTCTGAAAGTAGAGGAGATAAGCAGAGTAAACAGACGGAGACTCAACCCACGAGAACAAGCAAACCAACTAATAGGCAGAGTATAAGCTGACACAGAACCTCAGAACTGCGGCAGTATCATGCAGGTCTAACTCTAAAATGCAAGAAAACACCGTCAGGCAAAGGCTACTGAGACAAGTGCCATGTGCCTCTGCCTGCCAAAATCTGGAAACACAGCAAATGCTATTTCTCACCACTAATAGTCAAACCACAATTATTTAAAGCAGTCAGTCAATTGAAATAACAAATCAGTCACGAAGGTCAGCTCACCATGAGACAATCATGAGTCTGGCTATGGAAGTTGTTGCAACAGGAAAGTACAGCCTGATGCTACCAAACAGCTCAACTGTATGACTTACTCTTGTTTGTACAAGAGGACCTGTGTGTGGTTTTATTTTCTGGAGAGAAGTCACTGGGTAGCCCAGGTTAGCCTCAAACTTAACGTGATCCTCTCAAGTGCCATGGCTGCTGAAATTACAGACGTGAAACATCATACCCAGACTGCAAGGCTTAGGAGCTATCAGAGCCAAGTTGCTTATGCTTAGTGAGCATCTTTATTTCATTTTATTTTACTTTTTCCCTTTAAAGGCAGGGTCTCACTATGTAGGCCAGGATGGCTAGAACTCACAGAGATGTCTGCTTCTACCTGAGATTAAAGGTGTGCACCAGCACACCCAGCTTCAGTGGATTTGTTTACTTCTTAATAGCTGCTTCTTTGGCAAGGTTCAGAAGCTTACACTGCCTCAGTTTCCTCTTTGGTAAATAGAGAATTTCAGCAATGCCAGAGGACTGTTATGAGAACCAACAAGAGCTGGCATGTCTCTTACTGTCCTCACTTTAGTTCATCAAGCAGCTCTGTGGAATCCATGTGCCCAAGAGAAGAAAATATTTGTCAACTGTGTTTCTGGGCCACCTGAGTTACTACCCAGTTGCTACAGGTCTTTCTTTCTGTCTGTCTTTCCTTCCTTTTTTTTTTTTGAGACAGAGTTTCTCTGTGTAGCTTTGGAGCCTGTCCTGGAACTTGCTTTGTAGACCAGGCTGGCCTTGAACTCACAGAGATCTGCCTGCTTCTGCCTCGCAAGTGCTGGGATTAGAGTGTACCACCACCGCCCAGCCGCTACAGGTCTTTCCCATAAGAAGTGGTTTTCCTGAGCCAATCCTATCCAGGCTTTGATAAAACCAAGCTAAGCATCTGAACCCAAGACTACCTCATTCATCAGGAACTCACAGAACTGGCCTGCTTCCTGCATTTCAGCACACTGTGGTGCTACTGTGAGATTCCAAAGGTGGTACTATTGCTAAGTTCCATAATGTGTGGAAAACATACATATTCACACGTGTGTACCTATTTCAACTTTTAGTGACAAAATGTAGATTCTATAGACATTCTGGCATGGAGCGCTAGCAAGAGTGAAATCACATACTTCACAGACACATGTCATACATGAACCACTGCTTCCAAATCAGACGTGACAGCAGACACAGGGCAGTTTACAAAGATGGGCTGTGGGGCTTCTTCCCTTCCAAGGGGAAACCACTAAAATGACAGCAAACATTCACTGACATCTGCAGGGAGAATTGTTTAATACTGGATGCTGAGTATCTTAAAAACTGTAAAACTAAGTCCAGTCAACTCCAGCTACTGTTTTAGACTAGAACTGTAATTTTTTCCAGAGATTTATCACTGAAGAAACATAAGCATGCAATGACTCTTCTTTAAATGGAATAAAACTGACTCAGAAAACTATGAGAACATAAACCAGGAGAATTGTACCTGACTCAAGAATGTAATACTTAAGCCATGACAGCAAACAAACAAACAAACAAACCCAAAACACTACACACTACTCTGGCCATTAAGACAAATGTGAGGGGTTCACATCCTTAGTCACCACGGAAATGCAAATCAAAACGACTCTGAGATATCATCTTATACCTGTCAGAATGGCTAAGATCAAAAACACTGTAGACAGCTTAAGTTGGAGAGGATGTGGAGCAAGGGGAACACTCCTCCACTGTTGGTGGGAGTGCAAACTTATATAGCTACTTTGGAAATCAGTACGGTGGTTTCTCAGAAAACTGGGAATCAATCTTCCTCAAGACCCAGCTATACCACTCTTGGGCATATACCCAAGGAATGCTCAATCATACCATAAGGACACATGCTCAACTATGTTCATAGCAGCATTATTCGTAATAGCCAGAACCTGGAAACAACCTAGATACCCCTCAACTGAAGAATGGGTAAAGAAAATGTGGTACATATACACAATGGAGTACTACTCAGCAGTGAAAAACAATAACATCATGAAATTTGCAGGCAAGTGGATGGAACTAGAAAATATCATCCTGAGTGAGGTAACCAAGATTTGGAAGGACAAACATGGTATAGTCACTCATAAGTAGATACTGGATATAAAGCAAAGGATAACCAGAATTCAACCTACAGCTCTTCTAAACTAAGAAACAGTGGCTACCTGAAGACAGGTGTGGGAAATACACACCTCGACCCCAGTGCAGTCAGGAGGATCAGTAGTTCAAGGTCATCCTTCTCTACACTGAGTTTGAGGCCAGCCTGGGTTACATGAGATTCTTACACACACACACACACACACACACACACACACACACACACACACACACACACGAAAAAAAAACAAAAAAGGAAAAAAAGAGAGAAAAAAGAAAGAAAGGAAGGAAGGAAGGAAGAAAGAAAGAAAAGAAAGAAGGAAGGAAGGGAGAGAGAAATGTATTATGATCCAGCAATCCTCTACTGGGAATTCACCAGTCAGCATGTTGAGGAGATTCCTGCACTTATATGCTTATTGCAGCACAATAATCTTCACAAAAGCCAAGATACATAATGCATATACATCAATGGACAGATAACCAATTTATAATGCGCACGCAAACACACACACACACACACACACACACACACACACACACACACACACACACACACACAATGCAGCCATATGACTATCCCAGAGATCATTGTGTTAGTGAAATATGCCTGATCCAGAAAGATAAATATCATAACCTCTCATTTACACGTAGAACCTAGAAATATTGACCTCCAAAACACAGGACAGAAAAGTAGTTACTAGAGCCAGGAAGGGGTAGGGAGGAGTGGACAGAGAGAGGACAGATAATTGATATAGCTCAAAAGGAGAAGACATTTCTATATCTTAACAGCATTGTAAGGCAACTATGGCTGATAATGATTTTTCAAAATAACTAGTATAGATTTTTAAGGCCCCAGCAAAAAGAAGCGATCAAAGTCTGAGATGACATCTATGCTAATTACCCAATCTGATCACTGCACAGTGACTACATGTGAAATGTCCCATGTATAATTACTATACTCTAGTAATACGTGTAATTACTGTATGTCAACTGACAGTAAAAATATAGGGTTGGAGGTATAGTTTACTGACAGAGATGGGGTGCTTGCCTAGCATGAGAGAGACCATGGGTTAGATGCCTAGCACGTGCATGCATACACACACACACAGACACACACAGACACAGACACACACACACACACACACACGCACACACATAGTGTAAAACACCGAGGGGGGCTGGAGAGAGATGGTTCAGTGGTTAAGAGCACTTGTGGCTCTTGCAAAGGACCTGGGTTCAATTCCCAGTACCCACAAGGAAGCTCACAACTATCTGTGTAATTCTAGTTCTAGGGGATCCGATGCCTTCTTTTGGCCTCCGTGAGCACCAGGCACATTTGCAGTACACAGACGTACATGCAGGCAAAAAAACCCATAACTTTTTCAAAAAGTCAAAAGAAACATAGTGAGGCTACACAAAATGAAAATAATATGCCAAGAGATGAAAATTATTCAGAGAAAGCATATTAGACTTACATTTAAAAAATGTCATCAGCTATTTACACACACTGTAGTTTCTGGATGAAATCCTTTAAGGATTTAGCAGAAACGAGCTTTAAAAACTGGAGTGTAGGGAGTGGGTGAATGTGTACTGTCTGCCATGAGCTGGCCATGCCAATCACAAAGGCTTGCCTTCCCCATATGAATCAGGTGTGGAATTGCAAAGCCTTCTCTGGTCAAGTGTGAATGTTGATAGTGTGTGCAAGGAGGAGTGTTTATAAATGACGACCAGTATGTGCAAAAAACTAGCAAGTGCAACTTCCTGCTTGCAGACATTTGCTGCCTGAGACCTCTTACTGAGAATGACTCCGCCCCAACGTGCTGTACATAACGAGCATGCTACAGTCTAGGTTATTTAGGAAGCTGGTGCCATGAGTGCACATGGCCCAAGGAACCATCTTTTATACTACATGTGTCTGTCTTTTCTTCCTTTCCTAGCTACCACAGTCAGATTTCTAGACCCAACCCTTGAAGGACTTGGCAGTGCATGGTTTGGGCTGGGGATGTAGCTTAGTAGTTGAGTACTTACCTAACATATAAGGACTTAGGTTTGGTATCAAGCACCAAAAAAATCCCCCTTCCCCAAACCTGGTTATTTTATCTCTTAGGTGATATGCCCTGGTAATTGTTTTAAGTATTTGGGCCACAAAGCAAAGGAATCCCATTGCTTTTACTTCAAACAAACAAAACATCTCACTGGATTTATGAAATTAAATATAAAAATAAGATACTTTCAATATTCAATTCTAAACATAATGGGGTAGGATTATAAATGCTAACAGCTCAGTGTAGAAGAAAGCAAGCCAACTCTTAGTGTGATAGGAACCACTGCCTCCAGGCCTGGCTCAGAGGAGGTGTTCATAACTGCTGGATAAGGGACAAACTACAGCAACAAAGCTGCCTGACATAAACAACTCATCATCTCATGAGTACATGTTGCTTTTCAAAAAATGTATATGGGTGTCTTTGCTTGCCTGTATGCACTGCCTCTGGAAGCCAGGAGAGGGCACCAGATCCCCTGAAACCAGAGTCACAGATGACTGTGAGCCTCCATGTGGCTAGTGGGAGTGAAGCTTGAGTTCTCTGGAAGAGTAGCTAGTGCTCTTAATCAATGAGCCATCTCTCATGCCTTACATGTTATTTTTATATGTGGTTTAAATTAATTTATTACTTTTTTGGTGAAAAGATCTCATTGCATAGCCTAGGGCTAGCCTGCAACTCATGATTTTCCTGCTTCTACCTCCTAGGTGCTGGGATTACAGGGGTGCACCACCTGCTTGGCTCCCTCCCAGGTACTGGAAGGATAGGGGTGCACCACCACACTTGGCCCCAGTAAATTCAGCAAAAGAAAATGAAAATAAGTTGAAACTGCAAAAAGTATAACATATAGAATAGAAGCTACTCGAAATAAAATACTCTAATTTCTATATTTATTTCTCTATTAAAAAAATTCCTAGAGCTTTACTTAGAGAAATTTGCATAGATTTACAATTCTTTTTTTTTTTTTTTAAGTGCAAGGTGAATGAGAAACCAGACAAAAATCCATTCTCATTCTCTCTCTCTCTCTCTCTCTCTCTCTCTCTCTCTCTCTCTCTCTCTCAATTTAGTATGGTATGTGGGTGTGTGTGATATACGTGGGCATGGGTGACTTCTCACTCTATCATTATTATAATTATTATTATTTTGATTTTTTCAAGACAGGGTTTCTCTTGTGCTGCCCCGGCTATCCTGGAGCTCTCTATAGATCAGGCTGGTCTTGAACTCAGAGATCTGCCCGCCTCTGCCTCCCAAGTGCTGGGATTGAAGGTGTGTTCCACCACCACCCGGCTCTTTATTATTTACTATCAGTGTGTGTGTGTGTGTGTGTGTGTGTGTGTGTGTGTGTGTGTGCATATGTATGTGGGGGCATACATGCCACAGTGTGCAGATGGAAGTCAGGACAATATTGTGGCATCATTTCCTTTCCTCATGGGTTCTGAAGACTGAATTCAGGCCATCAGGCTTTCGAGACAAACACTTGTACCCACACCAAACACTCATTGGCCCTGGCCTTGAATGCTTCACCCTCTTGCCTCCACCATCCGGATAAGTGTTGGAATCAGATATCCCAAGGACTAGGGTTTTGGCTAGAGGACAGCACTTGCACACATAAGGCCCTCGGTCTGACCTTTACCACAGCCACCACCACCAACAACCTTAGAACCTGTTTTATTTCCATGCTTGGGTACCTGGATGAGGATTTGAGTTTTAAAAACAATAATACAAATAAGAGCCGGGCCTAGTGGCAGAAGACTTTTATACTGGCAGTTGGGTGGTAGAGGAAGGTGAATCTTTTTGCATTTGAGGCCAGTTTGGTCTGCATAAAGAATTCCAGGACTTCCAGGGCTATGTAGAGAGACCCCACCTTAAAAAAAAAGTACACATCTTATAGAGCCTCAAGTCAGTCTTTTTTTTTTTTTTTTTTTTTTTGGTTTTTCGAGACAGGGTTTCTCTGTGTAGCTTTGCGCCTTTCCTGGAACTCGCTTTGGAGACCAGGCTGGCCTCGAACTCACAGAGATCCGCCTGGCTCTGCCTCCCGAGTGCTGGGATTAAAGGCGTGCGCCACCACCGCCCGGCTCTCAAGTCAGTCTTTTAGCCAACATGCACAATGAAATAGTATGTATGATGCCATGGGGCTTGATCTCTAACTGGGAGACAAACAGACACACAAACATACCCCTTTAAATGTGCATGTTAGCAGCTTTCTTATATAACATGAACTTAATTATCATCGACTGGAAATAAAATTTAATTCCACTATAAACCTTCAAATTACAGAAATTATCAAGAAGTGTATTTCCCAACAATTGGGAGGCAGAGGCAGGTGGATCTATGAGTTGAAGGCCAATCTGGTCTAGTTACAGAACAGCCAGGAATACATAGAGAAATCCTGTCTCCAGGGGAAAAAAAAAAAAAAAAAAAAAAATATTCATTCACCCTCTATTTTTGCAGTTTGAGAAACATATTTTCTTTGCTTAGGTCTGCTTCTGAGCTTGGGTTCTAAGTGTGTGCCACAGGCCAGAGACAGCTCAGCGGGTCAAGGTCTCAGGGTGACCCCTGGGACCCACGTACTGAAATGGAGAGAACCGCCTCCTGACAGCTGCCCTCTTGCCTCCACATGAACACTGTAGTGCATGCATGTACACACACATGTGCAAAAAATGTGCATGCTACCATGTCTGGTTGACTAGCTCTCAGCATAAAGAGGAATTTTAATATGACCTGTTATCTCCCAGCAGGGAAGACAATCAACAACTCTAGGATCAATTTTCATAAGAATCTGAGTACCACACTTCTAAAGGAAAGGCACAACTCATCAAGTAGTAGATATATTTAGAAATAATTTAAATGTTCTAAGAATTATCTTCTGGAGTTATTAATAACAAAATAACCAGAATAAGTCAGAAAATATTAACAAAATAAAACTCAATACCAATACAATATAAAACCACAATGAAATTAACTGCATGAAATTAAATTCTACAATTAAGGCTCTTTAAAAAAAATTCTCCCATGAAGTGCACAAATCTGTACAGCTTTAAGGTAATAAAGAGAGGTAGGTACTCACCGGAAATTAAAGGTAATTCTGTAAGAAGAAAGAACATTCAGTGTGAATGTTAGGATTCTAGAGGCCCCAGTACACTGACAGTGAAATGAGGCAAGAAGAAAGGTGGACTGGTCAACTTTGTCAACTGACAAGGCAAGCACGCAGGCCGTGAGCGGGCCTGGTGAGGGACAACCATGCACCAGGACAATGGCATTTGCAAGGCAGGAGTAAAATGAAGATGAGAGTCACTGCTGCTTCCCTCAGGGCTGTACCTTTTCACAGGCTCTGTCTGCACCAGGGCAGCATCTAACATGGCCTTCATCCACAGCTCCATTTCCTTTCCTGTATCGGTGCAGAAATAATAGGTCCGCATGTTTGGATGGGCTGCCTGAGTGAAAACGACACCATCGCTTTATCATGATACGCAATTCTGAAAAAGAGGGAAAAAGATTCCTTATCTTTCATTACTATGAACTTTCAAAGAAGGTAGATTTGTCTTTTACATAAGACTCAGACATGACTTAAGAACATGCATACCGATCCCAGCAGCTACAACACTAATTATCCTTTTAATGTTTCTTCAATTGCATATATTTCAAAGCTACAAAAACATGTGCTCTAGGAAGGAATGGGGTCTGTCCCACTCACTCAACTCTAACCATTTTTAATTTGCTGCAGTCAGTATTTTCTCATTCAAGGATAGTATTTCTAGCCAGGCATGGCATTTGGGAGGCTGAGGCATGACTCTGAGTCCAGCCTGGACTATATGCTGAGTTCTAGGGCAGCGTGATCCAGAGTGAAGACCCAGCCTCAAAACAAACAAACAAACAAACCACAAAAGTGGGGTATGCTTTAGAGAGAGCAGCAACAAAACGGGAAAGCCCATGCAAGCATTCTGATTGCTTGTTAGCAGTGTCTTTAGTCTTTAACAGCGATGCTGTTTCCGTCTTTTATAGATGGTATATGGACACTTATGCATAAATAATCCCAGTGATATTTCCTTCTAGTTTTTCTTTTCAGGTTTCCAAGTTAAAACGCAAACACCTGCAGTTTGAGAGAATGTAGCGACCAGTGGGGTTGTCTTCTACGGTGCTCTTTTTATCAGAGAACCAGGAGGAAAACAAAATAAAGACACTGGTGAAGCTGCTGCTGCGGGAAAGCACTGAACAGCCATGGCAAGGGCACAGAGGACAAGCTGTGGACGGAGAAGGCTGAGGACAGGAATGAGGACCCAGCCTCAACTTCCATTTCAAAACCCCATGGTCTTTCCCTAGACACTCGAAGACTTGGCCAAATGAACAAAGGCCACCGCAGCCTAAGTGAGGTGAGGAGCCTGTTAAGCAGCTGGTTGTTAATATTAAACCAGAGCTCTACATCTACAGTCACACTCTTCTCGCCAACACCTTATCAGCCTTCTTCCCAAGGTCAATTAGCTTAACATCTTTAGAATACATACAAATACACATAGAGTCCATAAGCAGTGATCACTGTGATGTCATAACAAATTCCATGGTGAGGTCAGAGACAACTGTGTAGCCTAGGACAGTTCAAGTGCGCTGGTGTTAAAGTGATCAGTAGTCACTGGACTCTTGGGAGTGGGTTTTGGTAAAATGGATGAAGAACACTGCTCACATCTGTGATCAGTAGAAGGAACTGGGCTGGTGGTGGGAAAATCTCGTTCCCACCCCGAGACAACAGAAGCCAAACCACTCACATAGCCACCTACCATGCTTTAATTCAGAAACTGGGAAGTTCCTACTTACCATGCCGATAACAGTTGACTCAAGATCAACAAATGCAGTCATACAGTAGTTCAAAATTTAGGGGAAACACCATAAAAGAGAAGTTAAAAACAGTAGTTACTATTGTTATAGGCAAAAAAAACCCAAAATCAAACTAATAGTTACAGAGAAACTATACCAGATCCCTGTGGGCACTTTTGTGCTATTTTAACATTGCAGATTTTTAAAAATTTTCTTTAATCGACTTTTATTATTATTACTTTTTCAGTTTTTATGTGTTGGTGTTTTGCCTGCATGTACGTCTGTGTATTACATATATGCAGTATCCTCAGAGGCCAGAAGAGGGCACTCGATCCCCTAAACTGAAGTTACAGATCTTGAGATCTGCCATATGGGTGCTGGGAACTCAACCCAGGTCCTCTGTGCTCTTAACTGCTGATCATGTCTCTGGCCCCTGCAGAATGCTTTTCTTTTTGGTTTTGAGCCTAGCCTTTCATGGCTGAGACATTTTTCTAGCCAGCTTTTTCTTTTCATACTGCAGTATTTTTTTTTTTTAAAGAATCTAAGAGTACAGATAAAATGTCCCTCAAAGACAAAAAATTCAATAAGTATTAATTAAATTTACTAGCAGATGAAAGATTTAAGCTTATGGCCAAGTAAGCGTGAGCATCACAGCTCTAGACATGTACTTCACAAAGTTCTTATTTGAAGTTACCTGTATTCAGTGTTTTTTGGTGATGCTGGGAATGAACCAGGGCATTATGCACAGGAATCACTCTGTACTGAGGTACACTTCTGGCCCCAACTTACCCAATTGCTCCTCTAGGCTACCCTGCTATAAGTGTGCTGTGCTAGTTGACTCAGACTTGAAGCTACGCCCTCACGCTCAGGCCTTGCTCTAGTATTACCTTCTCAACCTGCTTATGCCCTCTCAAGCCTTCCTCCTCTTTTACCTTCACAGTTAATAACATGTTAATTAGTGAAAGTCACACACTAGTGCAGTCCTAAGTATTCTTTGAAATGAATGTTTAAAGTTATATGCATTTTGTAAAGGCACAAACATCTTCATTGTTAAACTGTTATTTTGTCCTCATTTGTACCTTTATTCTTTTCTTTTAAAGATTTATTTATTTATTATGCATACAATGTTCTGTTTGCATGTAGGCCTGCTCACCAGATCTCATTATAGATGGATGTGAGTCACCATGTGGGTGCTGGGAATTGAACTCACATCCTCTGGAAGAGCAGATGCTGCTCTTAACCTCTGAGCCATCTCTCAAGCCCCTGTATCTTTACTCTTAAAAACAAAATTTCCACATTAAAATTAGTCATGATCATTATCTACCTACCTACCTACCTACCTACCCACCCACCCACCCACCCATCCATCCACCCACCCACCCACCCAGGAAAAAGTAAAACAAAACCCCAAAACCAAGCTGGTCACCTATGAGATTTATTTTAATCCTTAACCCTAAAGCAAAGAATGCAGCATGTTTTTTGAAAACAAAAATTTGTCACCAAATTAGCATTAAAGTGTACTCTCACAAGCAGCAATATAGCACAAGATGAGTGAGTGAAAGATGGTCTCTGCAGGGTTTGCATTTAAAGGTGGGAGATGAGCATTATGTACTTGAGCACGTCTTTGAGACTAATGTACAAATTTGTAAATACGTCATGTTAAACTCTGCAACATTCTTCCCATACGTTCCATCTGACAAAATTCAAGTAGTAACTGAAACAACAATGATCACTAAGGGAACTAGCCGTAGTCATTCATCATGTTTCTGCCATGCTGGCTTTATAGAGAAACACTTGAACACAGCCTGGACTATGTTAACATGTGCTTCCTAAGGTGACAGTCTTCTCTGGTGTGGCTGGGACATCACTAACCAATATGCTTCATTGTTATTTTTAAATTTAATTTTATTTTATGTACACAAGCATTCTGCCTGCGTGTATGTCTAGGCCAGAAGAGGGTGTTGGGTCCCTTGGGACTGGAGTTATAGTTCTGAGACACCTTGTGGGTAATGGAAATTAAATCCAAGTTCTCTAGAAGAGCAGCACCACCAGTACAACTTTAAATGTAAACATTACCACCAGAAAGATCTTTACTATAGTTTGAGGCACAGTATCTGTTCTTATTTTTATTTTTTTTGGTTGTGAGCCTAGCCTTTAACAGCTGAGACATCTCTCCAGCCCCAGTATCTGTATTTTAAAGTTTCACAGGATAAAATGGCCCGCTCCTTTCCTTACCTTAAAAGCGTACTTGCGATTGATGTGGTCCTCAGAGGTAAGCATGGCTATCTGAAAACTAGGCAGCAGGATGCTTCCCAGAATCCCCTCTTCCTTCTCATCTAAATACAAGTTAGTATTTCATTAGAATTTTTGTTCTTTGGGAATTTCGCCACTTGCCCTGTGTTCTAACATAACCCTGCTCTAGTTGTTTACATTGTTTCCCATCTTCCCTGGACTGGCAAGTTCTACGAGGCCACTTAGAGAGGTAGGAGCACATACAGAGTAGATATATGACATTAAAAAGTACTTTCAACTATGCCACAAAAATTACACAATTTAAAAGCTGTGGAGCTTTAGGTCTGCCTTTACTAGTAGCTGAGACACAGAGTGAAGCTGACAGTTTGAGGAACAGACCTACAAAGTAAGCACATAAATTACACTAAGGAAAACAACTCAACACTCATCTCCCACAAAGAGCTTGTTTGGGGATGTTTGAGGAACCTGATACACACTGTCACTGTTATGGACCCACCAGACAAGCTAATGAAGCCATGCATCTAGCTAATAAACTCAAATAAAGGCAGACATTTCTGTCCAGCCAGCTGCTCCCCAAATAACCACACAGAGACTTACTATTAATTATAAATCCTTGGCTGATAGCTTAGGCTTGTCTCCAGCCAGCTCTTACAATTTAAATTAACCCATATCTATTAATTTATGTGCTCCCCTGAGACTCATTTACCTCATCTATGAACTTCCCATGTGGCTTCTTCTGTGTCTGGCTTGCAACTCCTGAGACTCCTCCTTTTTTTTTTCTTTTTCCTCTCTTTTTGTCTACAAGTCCTACCTAACCTCTTCCTGCCCAGCTATAGGCCAGTCAGCTCTTTTATTAACCAATGAGAGCCATACATATTTAGAGTGTACAAGATTGTTTCACAGCATTTCCCCTTTTGTCTACTTAAAAGGAAGGTTTTAACCTTAACATAGTAAAACTATACACAACAAAAAGAGTTATCAAATAAGAATTACAGTTACAATATCCAGTCCATTTGTATTTGACAAAATTAGAGAAAATATTGTATTATTTATCTTATCTTGAACTTGCTATGTTAAAAAAAAGTACTGTCATGTGGCAGAGCACAGATAAGAAATGTGGATTAGGGGCTGGAGAGATGGCTCAGTGGTTAAGAACACTGACTGTTCTTCCAGAGGTCCTGAGTTCAACTCCCAGCAATTGCATGGTGGCTCTCAACCATCTGTAATGAGATCTGGCGCTTATAATAAATAGCTAAATCTTAAAAAAGAAGAAAAAAAAAGAAATGTGGATTAATTTAAGTTATTTAAGCTAAAAATGAGCCTAAGCTATTGGCCAAACATTTATAATTAATAATAAGTCTAAAAAGGGTAGATTATTGAATCTACTTTAATCCAAAAAACAACAATTAATCTCAAAATATTTTACACTGGTACAGATTTTGGTGTATTGATACAAATTTAAAGTTATTTTTGATATATCATATGTTATATATTATATGTTTCTACTCTTACTTGGGGTACTGTGTTTATGCAACTCATTTAAAGATGCAATGTATAATTAAAAATTCAGGTTAGTAGTCATCTATAATAATCAAACTTGTAGTCATATTAGGAATGTTTTCAAGGTTAAACAGATATATTTAGATAGATAGATGGTCTTCAAGCACTTCAAAGACCTACAGAATATGGCATTTAAGGTGTTTAATCAACCTAAGGCTTTTCATGACAGTGAGACACGTCTTCTCCTGACAGCACCAATCTACTTCAAAAAAGGATGATGGGCATCGAAGAACCTCTGTACAGAGTTTGCTTTCTTTATGGCAAAAGCTAACCATTTGGGCAAAGAAACTGCCCTTGCCTCAATTGCTGACAGTATACTATCCAAACTGGACCAGCAGAATGCACCAGCAACCACATGGTGGTTCACAACCATCTGTAATGAGATGTGGTGCCCTCTTCTGGCCTGAAGGCATACACGCAGGCAGAACACTATAAGTAGATAAATCCTTAACAATAAAAAACTAAATTAAATATTAAGACCTCATTGACTTTTTTCCATATTTTCTTTTCCTATTAGTTGCGAAACTATAAAAATAAATATATTGAATATAGGAGGGAGGTGACTAATAATAATAAGGAAAAATCATAATATGGTTTCTATTCACTTTCGTTTTTTCTTTACAAATTTTTTAAGAAATACTTTTTTTTTTTAAGATTTATTTATTATGTATATAGCATTCTGTCTGCATGTGTGCCTGCACATCAGAAGAGGGCACCAGATCTCATTACGGATGGTTGTGAGCCACCATGTGGTTGCTGAGAATTGAACTCATGACCTCTGGAAGAGCAGCCAGTGCTCTTAACCTCTGAGCCATCTCTCCAGCCCCCCTTTTTAAAATTTTTTTAAAAGATTTATTTATTTATTATGTATACACCATGTATGACTGTAGGTCAGAAGAGGGCACCAGATCTCATTACAGATGGTTGTGAGTCACCATGTGGTTGCTGGGAATTGAACTCAGCACCTTTGGAAGAGCAGTCAGTGCTCTTAACCTCGGAGCCATCTCTCCAGCCCTTAAAGAAATACTTATTTGGTGTAGGCATGTGTGTGTGCCATGGCGTGCACACAGAGGTCAGAGAACAGCTTCAGGAGTCAGTGCACTCTTCCTTTCCTGTTGCTGAGGCTCTCTTGTTTCTGACACTGTGCTGCACACTACAGGTGACCTCCCTTGCAAGTTTCAAGCTGACTGTCCCATGTCCCCTCCCATCTTGCAGTAGCCATGGTGGGACTACAGATGTCACCCACAGCACCGAGGTTTTGAGGTGTCATCAAGGTTGTGTAGCCAGCATTTTTACCTGCTGGGCCACTTCCCTGAAAGAGTGTCTCATTACACACATATTCCAAGCCACCCTGGAACAAGGGGTGGGTTTGCACCACTACATCTAGTTTACATTTTATGGTATCCCCGCCCTCCAAGACAGGGTTGCTCTGTGTGGTCCTGGCTGCCCTGAAACTTACTCTGTAGACCAGGCTGGCCTTGAACTCACAGATATCTGCCTGCCTCTGCTTCCCAAGGGCTGGGGTTAAAGGTGTGTGCCACCACGGCCCAGCTCTATGGTATATTTTAAACATTTCCATGTGAGCTCAGTTCAAGCTCCAGGACCTATGAGGTGGAAGGAGAGAAGCAATTTCCACCAGTGTTCTCTGTCCTCAACACATCTGCTGTGACATGTGTATGCCTACCCCCAAACCATACACACATGTCAACAATAAATAAAAACAGGAGCAAAGCCATTACAAAGAATCTGGTATTCCTTTTGTTATAAATTACTATTATGAAATTTTTATTCTAGAAATAAATTAGGAAAAGTAAACATTTTCTTGCTATCATTTTGAACTCCAAATTGACAATAAATATATTGGAAAAGGAGGAAAACACAGACAACTAGCTCATGGGTAATTCTGGAGACAACTTTATCTTTTTCCCCAAGAGTGGGAAACTCAATGAGGAAAATTATACAGTAAGCCTAGCGCCAAGTAAAGACAGACAATACCACAACTGATGTGGGGCCGGTGTTTCATTTTGTCTCTAGGTTTGGTAATTTGATCTCAAAGTACTCCTCAACCACAGTTCCCTGGGGGTGAGCTAATGAGCACAGCTCTAGTCTCTGGTAACTCTGTATTTACAAGATTGATACGTATTTTATCACTTTGCAGGTGACCACAAAGCCTCGCCACCCATCTTCTGTATAATCCAAAGATAAATTTAAAAATTGCAAACAGAAAAGGAACTTCTGGGTGAGACTCAGAACTAGAAGCTGCCTGCCTGTGATCCCATTAAGAAGCGTCATCTAAGACAGAATAGATAACCACAGATAAAGAAAGAAATACAGGCAAAGCTTTGGCAGTTCACAGCAAAGAAGAAAGCCCACACAGCTCCAGCTGGGAGCAGGAAGCAGAAGCCTCACCCAGAAGCAGTGTGT